TTCTTTCTTTACCGAGGATCTTGACCGATGATCGATGATCTTCTATGATACTTTTCAATCCAGCAACGATGGAACAAAGAAATATAAGGGATGAGAGCTAAGTGGACTGTATTTATGTTTTATTTATGGAGAAACTGAACTACTGTGAAGAAAGTTAATTACTGTGACATCCATCTAATAACTATGAAGTGAGTTAAACGTTAATTAATACTTTTTATTTTCTGTTAGTTAGATAGATGTCGCTAATAAGAAAAATGCGTGCTATGGTTTGACTGCTTGTAATAACCTAAGCAGATTAATATAAATTTTGTAATTCAAGTCTCATTATACTTTCGATTCGATGTCGTCGTTTTGGAGGACCTCAAAGTAGGTGGTTCATGGTCCTTAGAGCCGGATTCGCGAAATTAGGTAGGGTCGCTTAAACAGCAATCGGTACTAAGTGTAACGGTAAAGTGTGTTCAGTAATAGTGGTAACAAAGCAGCTTCAAAAGTGTTAAAACAGTGATTATAGTGAATTGTGTTAAAGCATTATAAGATTATCTATACGTGGAAAAAAATGAGTAAAATTGTAAAAAAATATAATAAGTGACTTGCAAACCACACTCTTCTTTTATCACACAGTTTCTCACCCTGTCACTCAGATTCAGCCCTAACATACTCCTTAGCGACCGCATTTCTACTGCATCTATTCTACTCGCGTGCTTCTTCTGCCACACCCAACTTTCACTACCATGCGTTAAAGTAGGGACTAATACAGCACTGTGAATTGCTAATACCAATACGCAACAGACAGACAAAAAGGTGTACCATGCGAGTAAAACAGAAAGTAAAAGAAATATATTTACGTACTGTAATGGCGATCACTTCATAAATGCAAACAGTTTATAGCTTTGAGCTACGAAGATAAAAAGAAAGTTATAGTGGAAAAACAACTCTGCTTCAGTTGTTTCGTTCCATACCATGGAGTCAAGATCTGTAAGCATGACGCTCGTTGTCATACATGTGGCAGGAAACATCATTCGTTAATACATCCACCTTCTAAAAATATCGATGAGATAAACACAGCATGTTTCAGAAATAGAGAAGAGACTTCAGTCTAAGAAAATAGAGAAGGGACTTCAATCGATGAAATACAAAATAAAGCATGTGTTTCCAATAAAGGACAAGATATAAGTACACACTTAGCCATGGAAAAGAAACCGAATATTTTACTGGCGACTGCATTGGTCAAAGTTAGAGCGGAAAACGGGAGAATACAGCAATTACGAGCATTGATAGACCAAGGGTCTGAAGGGTCTTTCATAACCGAGTCAGCTGCCCAAGCACTAGGTTTGAAAAGAAAAACAATCAATGTTTCCATCAGCGGTATAGGGGATTCAAAAACTTTTAAGGTTAAACATAAAGTAACATTTACGTTGCAGTCTTTTACTGTGGACGAATTCAAATTAAGTGTGGACGCTTATGTACTAAAACGTTAACCCGATTGCTGCCGTTGACACAAGTTCTGATAGCATTTCAACATATACAAGGCTTACCATTGGCAGATCCGACTCATGGTATACCAGGGAGAATAGATTTACTTTTGGGCGCAGCAGTATACAGTAGAATCATAAACAATGGAGTAGTTAAAGGACCTCCTGACATACGAAGTAGCATTTGTCGCAGATTGCATTAAAATGTATCGACAGAAGGTTACTGACAAATGTGCAAATCTACAAAGACTTCTTTGGAGGGAACACGAAGAACTAAAAGAATATAACCTTACCAGAGTTACATTTGGCACAGCAAGTGCACCTTATTTAGCGACAAAAACGGTTCAAATTTTGGCACATAATGAAAAAGAAAAATTTCTAATTGCAGCAAAAATAGCTATGAAAGATTTTTAACTGGATGATCTCCTTACCGGAGCTGATATATTGGAAGAAGGAAAAGAGATATACACACAAATCACGAAAATGATGAAAACTGGCGGGTTTAAAATTCTGAAGTGGGCCTGTAACAACAAAACAATTTCAAAATATATAGAGAAGGCAGAAAATGCGGCTGATGATAATACATATGTTGTGAAAAACGATGACGTAGTGGAGACATTAGGTATCAGATGGGACAGAGACATAGATAAATTTCAGTACGTAATTAATGTGGATCGCAACCATACAGAAATAATTACAAAAAGAACAGTTTTGTCATCAATTTCTGGTCTATATGATCCCATTGGATGGTTAGCACCCGTAACAGTAAAGATTTTCATTCAAAAATTGTGGCTCGCTGGCATTGATTGGGACCAGGAGATACCAAATATACTAAAGGAAGAATGGAATGAATACAGATGAGAACTGAACAATTGTGAAGACATCACAATAAATAGATGGTTGCATACAAATAAAGAAGATTTATGCCATGAACTGCATGGATATTCTGATGCTTCTACTATGGCCTATGCTGCCGTCGTATACATAAGACTTGTAAAAAAGATGGCTCAATACACACGCACTAGCAAAAACTAAAGTTGCTCCTATTAAAACTATATCTGTACCAAGATTAGAATTGTGTGGTGCCGTGCTTCTAGCCAATCTACTTATGGAAGTTGCAGAGCAATTAAATATCAAAAAGATAATATATTTGCATATTGTGATTCTAAAGTTGTTCTTGCGTGGCTACAGAGCCATCCCAACCGATGGAAGACATTTGTCGCAAACAGGACTGCGGAAATCATAAACTCATTGCCTTCTCAACATTGGCATCATATGGCGTCTGAATGTAACCCAGCTGATGTTGCGTCACGTGGCATTTTTCCATCGCAACTCTTAAATTATACCTTGTAGTGGGAATGACCAAAAAACTTAAAACAGAAAAATCCGAAATATGAACTATTAAAGGACAATATTACAAATTTAGAGGAGAAAACGATTAAAGTTATGAACATAATGACAACTAATTAATTTAACTTATTCTAGAAATATTAAGAGAGAAATATTAACAAAATTATTAAGAGTGACAGCATATATGTTAAGAGTGTTCGAGAAAGACAAACCAAACCATTTGCATTTGTCTGGACAAGAAATTGATAACGCCATGAACAAATGTGTAATAATGTGTCAGAAGCAAGCATTTTTAAGAGAAAGAGAGGAGTTAAAAATGAATCGACCTGTCCATTACAGTAGTAAATTGAAATCACTGAATCCATTTTTTGATCCAAATGAAATTATGAGAGTTGGCGGAAGATTGACACATGCTAATATACCTCATGATTCAAAACATCAAATAATACTTCCAGAGAATGATCCATTCACAAAACTTATATTATCAGACTGCCATATTAAAACCTTGCATGGTGGACCAATGTTAATGCTGAGTCATCTTCGCACGAAATTTTGGATTACAGATGCGAAAAGTTTGTTAAGAAAAGTCCTACATAAATGTGTCACTTGCACTAGATATAGAGCGTCAACAGCAAATCAAAGAATGGAATCCTTACCTAAACCAAGGGTCCTGCGAGACCTTTTCTAAATAGTGGTGTAGACCTAGCTGGGCCCATTGATTTAAGATTGTCTAAAGGTCGTGGTTGTAAAACACAAAAGGATATATTGTGATATTCATTTGCATGGCAACTCGCGCTATCCGTATTGAAATTGTCACAGGCTTAACTGCTCAAGAATTTATAGCTGCCTTTAAAAGATTTGTTGGGCGTAGAGGTAAATGCAAAAACATTTAACAGAGTGATAATGCCACTAACTTAACAGCCAGCAATAAAGAACTCATGTCTTCATTCGAGAAAAGCATTGAACAAGTTCGTAAAGAAATTGTTAGCGAATGATGGTACAACTTGGCATCACATACCGGCCGCAGCTCCTCATTTTGGTGGATTGTGGGAGGCAGGAATAAAATCAATTAAATTTCACTTAAAAAGGGTATTACAGAATACAACATTAACGTATGAAGAGATGGCTACATTAACTACTCAGATAGAAGCCACTCTTAATTCTAGGCCAATTTCACCTATGAGCGACGATCCATCCGATTACAATCCATTGACACCTGGTCATTTCCTGATAAGAGAAGTTCCAATTACTGTCCCTGAAGAAAGTTATCTTGACATCAAAATCAGTCGACTAGACAGAAGGAAAATTACTCAACGGATGTTCCAAGACTTTTGGTCTAGGTGCTCTAGGGAATATTTGACTAGACACAGACATTGGACCGACAGTAAACCTAATATAGAAATTGGGAGTCTCGTACCTCATAAAAAAGACAACATGCCACCTGGCAAATGGTTGATGGTTAGAGTATTAGAGACTCATCCAGGCGAAGACAGTTTAACTCGTGTTGTGACTGTAAAGTGTAAAAATTCAATACTTAAGCGTCTAGACTCCAAAGTCTGTTGCCTTCCAATAGATACAGATTAATTTTTTTTCATTATTGTATTGTTCATGGTGGGTGGTATCTTCTTTTTGTTTTTTTTTTGTTTAGCTTATTTTTTTTCGTTTAACTATTGGAAGAACATTACAATGTCCTTCGTGGGTGGAATGAAGTGAGTTAAACGTTAATTAACACTTTTTATTTTCTTGTTAGTTCGATAGATGTCGCTAATAGGAAAAAATGCGTGCTATGGTTTGACTGTTTATAATAACCTAAGCAGATTAATATAAATTTTGTAATTCAAATCTCATTATACTTTCGATTAGATCTCGTCGTTTTATTTTTAGAAGGACATTAAAGTAGGCGGTTCATAGACATATATGAACCGCGTACGTATGAGTATTTTAAAATAAAAGACAGTTAGTCCCTAATTCCCTTCGTCGGTAACCTTGAGTAACATCTGCTAGCTACGTGTTCACATTGTTCGAGTGTAGAGGGTCGCATACCTGCCTATTTTTAAAGGAAGTAAACGAAATAACTCAGTATATACTGTTAGTTTTGAAAATTTCTTTGCAGTGAGCAGACGTGCTTATTGGTAATATTTTCAATTTTAATGTGTGCTGTTAAATAATTTTAACAAAATGTCAGAAGTTTGTTTCATTTGTGATAAACCTTTGAAAGAAAGTGAAGTTGTTGTTGCTGATCATGGAATGAAGACTTTGATTGATGCAAGTGTTGAAAAAAATGATTATTTTTTTGAATACTTGAAAGACAAACAATCTGTGATAGTCCACGTGCAGTGTCGTAAAATATACACTCGAAAGAGTAGTATTGTTGCAGCTAAAAGACAGCGCGAGACAGAACAAGGTAGTACATCCACGATAAGTCCACCTCATACTAGAGCACAAGTAAGTGAGCCAGATTTCAACTTTAAAATATATTGTTTATTTTGCGGCGTTGAAGCAAATGAAGAAGCTGAAAAGTAGAAAGCGCAGAATGTTCGTCGTAAAATATATAATGTATTTACACTTGAATTTAAAGATTCAATTTTAAAGGTAGCTCGGACTCGTTTTGATAACGTAGCAAAAGCTGTTATTGCCCGCATTGAGTATGAACTTGACTTAGTTGCTGCTGAAGCTAAGTACCACAATAACTGTTATAATATCTTTCTGAAGCCTACTACGGGATATAAAGTCGGTCGTCCCGAAAAATGTCAAGCTCATATTTTATTTTTACATGCAATAACTGGTTGCGATACTACATCAGCACTTTTTAAAAGAGGTAAAATAGCAGTATTTAAATTGTTCAAAAAACGCAATGATTTAATTGATTGCGCAGAAGTATTTACAAAGATTGACTCTTCTCCACACGACATCGTTACAAATGGAATTCGTTTCCTTCTTGCAATGTATGGTGCTCCAAAAAAAATTGATTCCATAGACAAATATAGATATTTGAGGTTTGTAAAATCTGCATGGAACAATAAAACAGTACAGTTGTCTTGTCTGCCTCCAACATCTGCTTCTGCCTTTCAACACTTGTATCGTGTGTATTATCAAGTTCAAGTGTGGCTAGGCAATGAGCTGGACCCAGAAGGATGGGGTTGGAAATTAATCAAAGATAATTATTTGGAGCCAATTCAAACTCTACCCCCGCCTGCTCCAGAAAAAACTGCTTAATGCTATTTTTTGTAAATGCAAGACGGATTGTAGTAAGAATTGTGGCTGTCAAAAAGTTGGATTATTTTGTTCGCCAGTATGCATCAATTGTCAGGGTCACACTTGCTCCAATATTGAAACAAATACAACAGATGAAAATATTTATGATATAAAATGAAGAAACGATTGATGCATCCCTTTTTTAGAACAGCCAACAGAAATTCTGCAAGAAGAAGAAAATGAAGACGAAGAAATAATTGTTGAAGTAGAATTAGACAATTATCTAATATAATAACATTCAGAAGAAAGCAACCTATTTCACTTTGATCATTAGCAATATTATCATTGTTTCAATCAATAAGATACGATCCGACCAAACTTTCTTTATTACAATAGATCGTGGAGTATACCTACTGGGGAAACCACGTTAAAAAAATGCGCCAAGTACATTACCTCGTAGCTGGTGCGGAAATGTGTGCATATTATGTAAAATATGAATTTTCTCATTATTAAAACCGCTATATCTTATGAATCGTGAGGCGTAAGAGAAAAAGTGACTGGACCATTTTTGTAGAGAATTGTATGATCTACAACTTTTGTCTGACTTATTTTTACGATAAAACTTACCGTTTTCGAGAAAAATGGAAAAAACCTAAATTTTGCACGTTTGACCTTGAATAAAATTTTTTGCAGAAGTAGGATCGACGGGGATTTTTGACATTTTATTTATACTGATGTATTTAACGTCTCTGCCAATTTTCAGCTCTATGCGAATTTTGGCTAAGTCAAATGTCTATTTTGACTGGACTACTAATAGGTCTTTAGGGCTTCTTTCTTATTTGTTCTGTCTTGAGAGCTGTAGCCTTCTGTTTTATTTCGACGGTCGGTGTTACGTAGGCACAGAGTTGGTGCGAGCGTTTGACCTTGCGGGGCCCTGATCTGATGCGGGGTGCGGGAGACGTGTCGACATGGGTGCGGTGCGACTGACGATTACTTCTTCGCCATCCACAACAAGAATATGAAAATGAAGATTCCGAAAGAAAACGACGAAACAAGTGCTTTGATATCGATATAAACCTCAAGTTATTTTGGTCGCTTAGGCGCTTTATGAACTTGAGTAGCTGTTGTCATCAACTGTCCGCTGGGTTGAGCTGTCGTCAAAATCTCCCAAGGGCTTCGCAATATGACGCATCAGCAAATTGTGAAGAAAAGAAAAAAAAAGTGCGGGAACCTTGAAACTGGACTGATAAATCTATATGAATTGAAACTTATAAAGATTATAATATAAAGAAGACTTGGCTTTAACTTTTGTGGTTTTTGAAAATATTAAGAATTAAAGAAAATAAGACTTGGCTTCGGACTTTATGGATTTTGAAGAGATGAAAAGTAGAATAATAAGACTTGGTTCCGGCCTTTACACTTCAAAATTCTATATACTCAAATTTAAAAAAAAATACAAGGCTGTATGACTTAGTTCCTTTACCAGCTCTCCCGAGCGAATAATAAAAACAACAACAGCAACAACTTACACAGGGTATGTTCCGAAATACAACGCAGTGTACTGTCCAATGCAAATGACGCTATACTGGTGATTCGTTCCAAAACATTGGACAGTATATGCCGTCATACTTTTGCGCCATTTGGAAAAGTGTTGGCGATTATTTTGTCATTTTGTGCTCCAAAAATCATTACATCCTCCTAATGGATATACCATCAATTATTCTATAATTTTTTGTATTTGAATAAATAGAAAAAAATTCTGGCATGCTTCATTCGGCAAACACACAATTAAAAATTGTTTTATTATGGCCGGATATCCGACACAATATGGCGGCGGCACGATAGTACAATAAAGTGTCAAATGAAATGATACGTCATTTGCATTGGACAGTACACCAGTACACTGCGTTGTATTTCGGAACATACCCCTATTTTACATCACAAATTCACAACACAAACTAACTAACTAGATATGATTTTACATACGCTAGATTTTTAGATTTTTGATTTTGTTTTTGTAGATTTGGTGGTGTAAACAGTTTTTATAAATCTAAATCTAACAAAAGCAAATCATGTACGCCGTCGAAAAAAAATTCGAAATTGAAATGAAATTGAAAAAGGTGTAAAGAGTTTATTATTTTTAAAATTATTGCATTTGATTTAGTTTCTTATTGCTTTATATGTAAATAAATAGGTATATAATGATAAATATCCAAATAATTTTGCTTGACAATTGCTTTATTAGGAATACAAGGATGTGTGGTGGGCGTTTACGTTATTAATTATAACTTTCCAGGAGATGACAAACATTCAGGAGTTGAAAGCAGCTGCGAATCGTAGCTCCTCGCTTGCCAGTGATGTTTGTAATGTGCTAGGGGCCTGTGAGCAAAGATTGCAGCAGCTGGAGACTGCTGTTTTACCTTTATATGGAGATACAGCACGCTTACAGCATATACATCAGAGTAAGTAACAGGTTGATATTTATAGTTACAGCAGATATTCTAAATACCTTAAATAATAGATTTAAGTGAAAATGTGTCAGTAATTGTTAATTTAGGGGTAAGGTTTACAATTTGGTCGCCTGAATTAGGGATTGGGGGTGGTTTGGGGGGGAGGGGGAGGAGTTGTAGTCACCCACTTCCCCTTACTGGTGGACGTACTTATTTTTTTTTTTTTAATTTTTAAAGATCTCATTTTGAGGTTATGTTTCGTAATTTTTGTGACAATTTTAATCTGATTTATGGAGAGAGAGCGTTTAGGGACGGAAGCCCCACGCCACTTAACGTGGTGCAGCCGAGGGAAGCCCGGTCGACGGAGCCCTGCGAAACAGGGCTTCTACTTCTGAGTGGTTTACAAAAAATAACCACGAAGGGGATGACGGGGTCTATTCGCTCGCTTCGCTCGCTCACTCGACCCCATCATCCCCTTCTAACCTAATCTGTCCGAGTCGGGGTGCCCCACATCCTAGGCTCGCTTCGCTCTCTATTGCAACCAATATTAGAAAATTCACAAAACATGAAGTTTTAAATGAATTTACAATTTTATTCACTGTAAGGCCGGCCTCATACAGCCGGAATGGCTCTCTGAATTCATATTCTAAATTCCGGTACCTTGCCTCACACATATCTTAAAAATTCAGATTGGTCAGTAGTCTCATGATTCCCGGCACATGCAAACGTGGACATCATGGAAGAGGAATTAACACTAATCACGTTGCTTTTGGCTCTACATTATAAAAAAAAGAAACGCAAATGGGAATACTGGATTCATCCTTTAAATATGAACAGATAAGGAGAGTCAATATTATATTACGGCGAAAAAATACGACAGTATCCTGACAGATTCTTCGATTACTACAGAATGTCAGTAGCATCATTTGATGAATTACTATGTTTGCTGGAGAATAAAATCCGAAAGAAAGACACACACATGAGAAGAGCCATTTCCGCTGAAGAAATACTCACAAAGGGGGCTTTAAGGTAAGATTATTTTAATTACTCATTTTTTAAAAGCAAAATAAAAATTAAAGTAGGTGGGATAATTTTAATCAATAAGTACAGTCTTAGTTTGTTTATTATATTCATTTGAAAGCCAAATAATTATTCAGCAGGCTATTACATTCTTCGTCATACGTGAAGATGCATTCAGTTTGTGAAGTGAAACCAGTGGGTTGATAATCACCATCAGACTGTCCATCACTTGAAATTGTTTGGACTGAATTTATGTCAACCCGTGGGGTAGGATCATCGTTGTAGATAGCTTGTGGTCGAGGAGAAGACCTAGGAATGGTGATTATAGTCGGCGGGGTTATATTGGGTGACCCTGTATATAGAGCTGCACCGCGAAACTTGTTGGTAGATCGGCATTAGACTATAGCTACTTTGATGGCTCGGGGTGCTTGAATCAATATAATATGGTGAAGAATTATTTGAATTTTCTTTGAATATATTTTTAAGTAGCTGCATCATGCCTAACTTAAAGTCAATTTTTTGTAGGTGTGTCATTTTTTTCATGTCACCTGAAAAGCTCAAAAGGTTTTTTTCATCATCGTCATAATCCTTAGTTGCAGTGTTTTTTTCGTCTTCAATATATTTAATATTTCTGTTGGCACATCTTGTGATTTTTTCTTTTTTGGTTCTGATTCTTCATTGGTATTAGTTTTCTTACATACATTTTCAGTTTCAACTTCTAGTGCTCTTCGTGTTCTAACATCCCTTTGTACCTCATGTTCATCCTCTGCATCTCTTACTGATTGCTCGGCAGTGTCATCTTCTTCATAATTTCCTGCGTGGTTTCTTCTTGAAACTATTTTGTCCAAAAATCCTAAAATGTCTGCGTAAACATATCTTTTCCCTTTTTTTGCAGCGGATCCTGTAGGAATACTCTTTGATTTTTGTTTATCTTTCTTGTAATAATCTCGACAGTTACTCCATTTTCTTTTGAGTTCTAGACCTGTCAGTAAAATAGAAGTAATCAGTAATCAATGTTATTTTTTTCTTTCAGATACCTCGCTACTGGTGACAACTTCGAAGATTTGAAGTATGATGGATGAATGAATGGGAAGTACTACAATCTCCGGTATTGTTTCGGATACTTGTTCGATTATATGGGAGGTATTACAACCAATGGAGATGAAGCCACCATCATCACAAGAGCGCTGGCTTGAAATATCCGACAACTTCTATAGGAAAACTAATTTCTCTAATTGTTTGGGTGCTGTAGACGGCACACACATAAGACTGATTGCACCACATTTCGGTGGCTCAAATTACTACAATTATAAGAACTACAATTCTATTGTATTGATGGCCGTCGTTGACGCGGACTATCGTTTTATAGCGGTGGATATTGGTTCATATGGTAGAGAAGGAGACAGCAGTATTTTTAAACACTGGAACTTCGGAAAAAGACTCTCTGAGTATCGCCTTAATTTGTCAGCCCCAAAAGCTTTACCAAACACTACAATGACGACCCCCCATGTTTTTCTTGGAGATGAAGCTTTTACCTTAGTTTCTGATTTTCTAAGACCATATCCAAGGAACAACTTAAACAACACTTGTAGAGTTTTTAATTATAGACTCAGTCGAGCACGCAGGATAGTGGAATGTGCTTTTGGAATTCTAAGTAACAAATGGAGAGTTATGAAAAACTACAACTGTGACTGACTAACAAATATGACAATACCACCAGATTTTGCTGTAAAAGTAACAAAAGCGGCATGTGTGTTACACAATTGTGTTCGTCAAAGAGATGGGTATAAATTTGAAGATACCTTAACACACTGTCTTGATGACCTGCCATATGAAACACCACATTATAGAGCATCTAATACGGGTAGACACGTAAGGGATAAGTTTGCACAATACTTTATGATGCCATGTGGCGAAATATCATGGCAATACAATAACCGAATGATCAGTGGTGATGACTAAATTTTATTATGTCTGTAGGTACTTACTTTTTATTTATTTTTTTCGTCTTCACTTAATGTTTCCCAATTTGGAATTAAAATTTTTAAATTTCCAACCACGCTATGTCTTTTTTCCCTGTCATGATAGTCTTCAATGAAAGGGTCCCATATACAAGGGTGGCTTTCGACGCAAAAAATCAAATTTTCTGTGTCAGACATCACGCCGAGTCGCAACGCGTCCAGACGTTACCGCTTGCAGTGGCGACTGAAGTAATTCATAATCTGATTCCAGTGTGTGTGTGCCGCTCCATAGGAAATGTATGGGAATACGCGCATTATGAAATCATAATCTTAAATATTACGATCCGAAATTCAGAATGCTCGTCAGTATCATTCTTACAGATCAATCTGAGTAATTCATAATTTGAAAAAATCAGAATGTGTGTGTAGCATACCGATATTGTATTTTATTCCGGCCTTTCTGAATTAATGATATGAATTCAGATTATGAATTCAGAGAGCCATTCCGGCTGTGTTAGGCCGGCCTAAACATAGACTGTCTTACTACAAAAAAGTTAGACATCTGTTCAACACGTGTTGTAGATGCTCGTGTGTGAGAATGTATGGACTGCTGGCGGGATGTTAACTGGAGAGCATGCAGTAGCAGTTAGATGAGCAATAAATAACACTTCTTCAGAGTTTCTTCTTATTTATTTTCTTGATTCCTTATTCTTACATTGCCGGATTTGGAATGTTTTACCACAAAAAACGCCTCTTTTTTTATAGGCAGCTGTGACCAATCAGAATTAATAAAATTTGCACGCGACACTAATGAATTTGCACATGGAACTAATGATCCCCGTCGACCAATCAGAGCGCAGAACAACCTTTTCTAAAGGAAATTTACAAATTTCTTTAATAAGTGTGGTAAAACATACCTTAAAATATTTTTATACATTCCTGACAATAGATATGACTTATCTATATTATTTCGAACATTAAACATTCATAAAACTCTTAATTTATGCTTGTAAAAATAAAAATAGTGGCGCGGTCTTCTTACGGTTTAGCTCCGGAGTAGCTAAGCTTTTTCCGCTTAACATACAAGCTTGCGCCCACCTTTCTGCCAAGGAGGGTCGCGTTCGTATACGGCTTAGAGATCTCTAGTCAGATCGTTAAGCCAATTCCTAAAAGGTTGAGTTTAGTGGGTAAGAGTCACCACATAACCACGCAGCCGGCTGCGTGGTATGCTATGAGCATTCTCAACCTCCCTCCCCCGCTTTCCGGAGGGTTGCCTATATTTGCTTCGGGCGCAAAAAAAACACAAGTAGCGCCAATCAAGACGCAACTGAACACCTTGTCGGAGGAACTGTCGGTTGCTGTCCAGGCACACAGAGGAGATGTCTGGGAGCGGCGTATATGGAAGGCGGAAGAGCATGATGCGTCGCTCTGTAAACTGAACCGACAGTTAACTAAAGCCAAACCTCCCGTTTGCCCGCTGACCAACAACGCGGGTGAACGTCGTTACGATGCCAAGGGTAGAGCGGATATCCTAGTAGAGCACTTCGAGGAGCAATTTATGCCGAACCCAGCAAGTGCGGAGTTCTTGGAGCTTCATGCCCAAGAGGAGAGTCGCGTACAGGAGTTCCTGTCGTCGCCCGCGCCGCCTCTTGCAGGAGAGTGGTTCATCTCCCCCCGCTGAACTGCGGTGAACAGCAACCCGCCTGCAACCGAGGAAGGCGCCGGGGCACGATGGGATTACCAACGCTGCACTCCGACAGCTGCCCCATAGAGTCCTAGTAGAGCTTGGTCGACTCTACAATGGGATATTGCGGACATCCCACTTCCCGGAGGACTGGAATAAAAGGCAAAGTGATCGTCTTGCCGAAACCCGGGAAGGACAGGCGTAGAGCTGCCAGCTACAGGCCGATCACGCTGCTACCACACATAGCTAAACTGCTTGAAAGGTTGTTGCTAAGACGCCTTCGCCCGTGCATCCAACTTCGGGCGGAGCAGCACGGATTCAGGAGGGGTCACTCCACAGCAACACAGCTGACCAGAGTGCTGCACCTGCTTGCGGCCGAATACAACCGTGGCCGCACTACGTTGGGCGTCTTTCTCGATATCGAGAAGGCGTTCGACAGGGTGTGACATTCTGGACTACTTTATAAACTAGAAGAACAGACCAGTGTCCCTCCTGCTATGTTGCGGCTAGTGGCGTCTTTTCTGGCAGACAGGAAGTTCTACGTCTGCGTAGAGGGCGCCGAGTCCGCAACCAGAACCATCAGAGCCGGCGTTCCTCAGGGCAGCTGTTTGTCTCCAGTCCTGTACGCGGCTTATACCAACGATATCCCTACCCTGGCAGGAAGGCTGCAAGAGTGGGAGGATGACGTGGAATTGGCGTTATACGCGGACGATAGCGCTTATTTCACCTCGTCCAGAAGAGCCCACATTGCCACTGCCAGGATGCAACGTCTCCTGGACCTGCTGCCACCTTCCTGCATGGCTAGATGAGTGGAGAATGGTCGTCAACGTTGGTAAGACGACCGCTCTGCTCACTCGCCGCCTCAGGAACCTACCACCTCAGCTAACCCTTAATGGCCAGAAGATCGCGTACGAGAAGGCCGTGACCTACCTTGGGTGCCGGATCGACCGGGCGCTGCGCATCACTGCGCACGTCGGCCTCGTCGTCCGCAGAGCACGATGTGCGCGGCCGATGCTCCGTCCGGTCCTGGCATCCAAGTTACCACTTAACACCAAAGTGCGAGTTTACAAAAAATATATCAGATCCATCATTACGTATGCTGCTCCGGCCTGGTCCAGGCCCAGGCCAGGCCCAGCAAAATTTGGCGTTAAGAACCATCGTCGGTGCGGGTCGCTACGTCCGGAATGACGTCATAGCGGCCAACCTGAAGATTGACACCATCCAGGAGTTTGTGGCCCGGTTGGCGCGCGGACTGTTCGACCGTGCAGACAACGGGCCACACCTACATCTTAACCAATTTGCGCCGCTACACACTCGCCCTCCGGACGGGCGACCCTATCCAAGAGAACTCCTCTCTATATCGATTAGAGAGTCGAGTAACAACCCTCAATGCCGCTGATGGGCCAACTCCGACTTTATATTAGACAACCTCTCTTTTTCCCGTAGTCGGTTAACTACGGGAAAAACTAACTAACAACGCCAATAGAAGGCTCCCAGGACCGGTCCATAGTGGTGGACCGCGAGGATAGCACGGGTAATGGGGGCATACCCCGAGGCCCGAACCCTACATGTCACATTGGGGCATGAAGACGACAATACAAGTAGCGCCGCCAGGCGGCAGGAATGCACAACGCTTATCATGATAATATTATGCTTAAGACTCTATACAGAATATATTTCAACTTCTTATTAAATTAAAATCTATTTTTATAATGAGAAATTAGATTACAAAAGTGATTAATTGACATATTATCGTATTAAATTACTATAAAGGAAAAGAATTAAACAAATCATTAAATTTACACTTAAATGTTAATATCTCTAATACAGCTCTTTAAAATTATAAGAGAAAGTTCTAATAAGTAAACTCATATTTTGTTTCTAACATTCTAATTAAACCTAAATAAGCAATTAGATTCATATTTTCGTTACAGACTTTGTTACTAACTTTCGTTACGCAGTTTTAAAATAAGAATTGAAGCTAATATAAGTAATTAATTCACTTTCTTGGTATTAACGCTATTAGTCTTTATACTTAGTTTAAATCACAGATAAGAAACAATTGAGATTAAACGTTTAAATTCACTTTTCATTGCTAACACTTAGTTTTAGATCACAAATAAGAAACAATTGAGATTAAATATTTTTAAATTCACTTGTCATCGCTAACACGTGTTTAGCAAATTGGTTAATACAAAAGAGTGTTTAACGGTGGTTTATGGATAGACACGGCTTAGACGTTGTTTAAATTTAAACAGCCGCAAACCCTTGTTTGACTAGTGTCTAACCTATCTTTCCGTCAGTTCAATATTTTTTGATTTCGTTGATTACTTCGATGAAGACGATATGGATAACTATGCAGAAATTTCCGAGAAAGTAATACGGTTCGTGTGAGGGTTAATCCGTTTGAAAAATACGACGACGCCAAGTTTAAGTAAAAATGTGGGTTCAGCAAACTTTTTGCTATAAAAATATTAGATGTTGTGAAAGACGATGTCCCGAGTGATTCTCGTGGTAACACAATAGATCCAGCAGTGCAAGTGGCTTGTGCGTTACGGTACTGGGATCGTCATCAAGTAAGTTCGATTCATACAAAATAAAACTATGCTTACGGTAAAGAAGAATAGCTTCACCCATCAGCCTGTATGTTTACTATTATTTGCAACTTTATTGCTTTTTGTTCATAAATAAAATAACTCATGAAAATTTAACAAAATATATATTTATATTGTATATTTATTATATATATCGTTTTATTATCGAACTTTGAGACAAAACAAAATTTAATTTTTGCGTATTGTTACGTAGTCATATTAATTTGCGTAAAACAAAACGAATGATTGAATGCTGAACGAATGTATTGCAGTGTGACCTAGAGAATAAAGTTAAACGTCTGTAGAGGCACGCGTTAAACACGGTTTAGTGGCAGCGAAATTTAAGCCATTGTTTAACATGTATTTATCATTTAAGTCCGTGTCTACCTAAACATATGTTGGACCAGTGTTTAAATGTTTTTTGTAGTAAGACTGAGAATATCTAATGTATTGAACAAAATATTAATTCATAATTGTTCAAAACGAAATAATATATAACTGGCTATGAGAGAAAGAGAGAAAGAAAATGTGCGCGCGCACTGCCCTCTCTTGCTTATATCCCCGACTCGACTCTCATTCGCTCGCCCGATAACACTTTTCGTAACGCTTTTGTCACATATTCGCCAGCATAGTCGAAACTCTAAAGAAGTTTTACTTCAATAAACAATTAAAATTAATAATCTACAACTGCACAATCTTAAACTCAAAACAAAATAGGGCCCACCATCATTAAATTTATTTTTAAAGTTTTGTGTTAATGCAAGATAATGCTCGTCCACATACAGCCGTATTACACAAAGAGCTCTTTCTGGTGCCAGTATCACAGTTTTGCCATAGCCAGCCATGAGTCTCGACCTCAATCTCATTGAACACTTATGGGATCAACTGAAATGAAGCCTAAAAGAAAACTACAGTCGGGTGATTACAGTGGTAGATACAGTGGTACTTACTATGTATCCTAAAATAATTATCAACTAAAGGATCAAAATTGTTTAAGCCAGCACTGCGCTCGGTCTTTAGCCGTATGTGCGTAAACGATGCACACAAAGATAGCACCGCAATGAATTTGCCTAAACTCTATCGAATAAATTTTCTGCACGGCCTCTTAAACTATTTCTTAATCCCCAGCCTAAACATATCTGTCCATAAAAAACAGATAAGCATGAAAATTTTTTGATGACAGCCTAAAAACATGATGGGCACTATTTTGTTTTGAGTAGTTTACATTAAACAATTAAAATTAATTAAAAAAAGTTGTTGATTAACTAGAGAAATAAAAAATATTTGGAACTAAATTTTATTTGCAATTTTACACAGAAAAGGTCCTTATACTATCAGTTCTTCAACTTTTGATGCTAAATGAAGTTTTATTATTTTTTACTACATCATTTTACAGCAATATTAGGAGTGTGAGGAATTAAGATTTTCACATTAAAAAGGTCTTTTCAGACCTTTATTATGTAAAATTATAAATATATGCAATGTGACACAAATCATCTACAAACTCAGGCAGGTCATTATTCTGGAGGTATCAATCTATAAATGTATTACTAAAACTAACTGGATATAGTGCTGATATAGTACTTACTAGACTGACATGATATGTTCCTGAGGAACCTGATTTTCAGGATACAATAATTGTTCTAGGTTGATGAAGTCAAAATAACTTGTCTTTAAATTATTGCTTTGGTTAGATTGGTAGGTAACACGTTGTAAGTAAGTACGAGTATAAGTAGGTTGGTGGCGATGAGTTTCTATAAAAATTTCAGCGTCTCTTTCACGTAACATTAGCTTTTTGGAATTTTTATTGAAAGTAATTATCACCAGTCTACTTACCTACTAAACCAATTATTTGAATATTTCAACAAACTTGCCTTTATTCAATCTGTTTCAAATAAAATTAAGTAATGAATTAATTATTATGATGGTTTATATAAAGGTCCTTTGGGAAAGTAAAAAATATATTATGTAATTAGAAAATAAATTTCAGGTCATTTTATAAGACAAGTTAAGAGATAATAATAAATCAACTCATCATCATCACAGCCTAGCAAGTCCACCGCTGAACATAGGCTACCACATAACTTGCCTCACAAGCAGGACATTTTTGTATGTATTTTGTATGCCACGCTGCAGCTGTGTTATGGTTGTGACATGAATGAGTCGGCTCAAACGGGGAAGGACCACGCACTCACAGAATACCAGCGTAAAGTAGCAGCTTAATGCTGCTGTGTTTCGTATGGTGAGTGTAGAGAACCGGAGACCTGTTTTACTGGAATCGAGGCATTCCATCTTAGTCCTCAAGCAACGCATTTGCATTTTGATTCCTAATCGAGGTTAATGTTGATGTATATGGGCCACATCGTCCACTTACCATCAGGTGGACTGTGTGCTTGTTAATCACCCTTATCCTACAAAAAAGTTGCCACAATTGCCGCGATTAGCAGGAGGGTACCTGTAGTTTTTATTGTCCAGGTGTTATTAGGAAGATGCTGCTGTCCTCCTCCTCGTTTCTCTCCGTCGCCTCTTATGACAGCACGGGACAATATGGGGAGATATTCTTACACCGCCATTCCTAGGTTACTTTTAAAGTATGATTTAATTTTTAATTAAACACATTAACTAAGAACAGGTGCTTACTTTACTTAGTTTGATTGTTTTTTGCCTCTAGATATGGAACGCACAGTGAAATCTCTGGATCATGTGATAAACTACTACATGGTATCCAGAGAATTGGCTGACCTTATTCAAGCTGGACCACACACATCATCTACAGAGTCTTTGAACATTTATTTAGAGGTTGCTTGTTGTTTCTTGATTAAAAAAGGTTTTGGTTTAGTCTTTATGTTCTATATACTCTTATTTTTACAGGCTTTAGATAAATTATCAGAGGCACAGAACTATTTTAATAAGAACAATCCCCAAAGTGTGGAGCTGGAGAATATAGTAAGTATACTTTTAGGATACGTTCAAATTATAATACTATAATAACCTGTTATAAAATAAAACCTTATTACAGAACCAATTATACAATACTGGTGTGTCAAAACTTGAGAATGCCTTTGAAGAGTTACTTAGCCGTAACACAAGACCTCTGTCCCCAACTACACTTATGGACATGATTGCCTTAGAAGAAGGTATAAATTTTTTTATTTACTCTGTTTACACATTAATTAGTTTCAGCCCTCTCAGACAATTATATTTTGCATTTATTCTTTTGAAAAGAAACGGAAGATAAGAAATTGCTCTCAAAATTAATTTAAGAAATAATTATTCCCTAGTAAGCAGTAATGAATACCAGATAACACCAAAATAGATGGTATGCAAACCAATAGCGACACTCCTTCACGGTGTAATATAGGCTCTTTGCATCATGATCTTATTGCTTTTATTAAAAGTACTGCTACAATTGATAAAATCACAACTCCAATTAATACTTATGGAACGACTGATTCAAGCTGGTTGCCCGCGCGTCACTCTTTATATCGAAAGCGTTTCGAGTTCTACCCTCACTTTGTGGTATTTTATTTCTACCCTCCTAAATAAACCACTTCTACCCTCATCCATATCCTTATATTTGGTTTTGTTTTTTAGTTATTTAAATAAGTTTTATCTGCAAACTCAAAATGATTTTGTATTGTTTTTAAATTTGCCAGACTCTAGCGTGGACAGTGTAAGCATAAGTGGCAGTGGATCCACTTCGGGCACCGCGTTGGAAACCATGCGGGCAGCCGCGGCCTGGCTCAGTGCGGCTGGAAGACCACCTGCTGGACCTCTGTTGGCTATACGAGCACCTGCCGCTAAGAGCTCTTTCAATGCCTTCAAGGATTACCTAAGGTCAAGGTCTATGGCTGCGTCACCGCTTATGGTAAACGATCACGGTTTAATCAAATGGAATTTTTATTGAAATCAAATATATAAAAAAAAAAAAAAAAAAAAAATATATATATATATATAGGTGTCTCTTCATTGTTCTTATATAATATGAACATTTGTACTTTTGTAATCATTTGTAACCAACACCATGGTTTTAGATGCATATGTGTGCGTGAGCGCGTGTTCTTACAGTAATTGAAGCATTATTTTGGAGTCACTTGAGGTGTACGTTTTATACATGGTAGAGTCAAGCTGCAGCTACGTTTAGATTGTAGCACGAATCGATCGTTTTGATCGGAGAAGGACCTCGCTCGCACAAAATACCAGCGTAAAATATGTATAGGTGTCTTGTATGGTGAGTCTTGAGACCTGGAGACCCTTTTAACTGGAAACGAGGCTTCTAGTCCTCAGTGGTGTCCATGCAACTGCATATTAATTCTTTATCGAGGATAAATGTAGATGTCTATGGGCCACTGCATCCACTTACCATCAGGTGGTGTATGCTCATTTGTTACCTCCATTCTATATACAATAAAGTCTATCTATCTTTGTTGGTCTGAGATGGCTGGTACATAGACTCGTTCATTATTTATAAGGATTAATCAAATATGGGCTTTGATGTTTTAGGCATAAACTGTCATTATGTTTCTTGGTTTCAGAAATCCAAAAATCAACTCAATCGATCAGATAGTACAAAGAAGACAAGTAAATTGCAAAAAGTGTGAGTAAACTAAACTATTTAACTCTTTGTGCATTTTTGTAATAGTTACTTAAAATATTAACAATGCTATAAAACATTACTAATATTTCCCTTAACCACTCGTTGTCAGCTTAAATTGCTTGTGTTACGAGTGGTTCCCGCCAGTAGTCGAATGGCGGATTCGAAACCCACAACCTTTTTGAGTTCGCGGTCCGCGCCATGCCATTAGGCTACTGTCGCCTCTAATACCATTTCCAAACCTCTAAACTATAGACGCATACTTTAAAAAAAGTAAGTAAAACCAAATATGTAATATATAGAAAAATACTTCGACGTCTGGTTTTAGTATTGGAGTTTCAATGCCTTTGGTTGTTTCTATATATTTGTGAGTTTTTATTTTAATTTTATATCGTTGTTGCACAAGGCAACACCTTGTAGTGGCAGCGTAAGAACATCTTCTATTCCATATTGTCCCGTGTATCGTAAGAAGCGACAGAGGGAAACTGTCTTCCTCAACTGAAAAAAATAAAAATATGCGGCTGCCAGTGATAGTGTTGTGTATATTAAGGTAGATGAGGCATATGCGCACGGAAAGTGTTAAGCTCAAATTCAGACAATTGTAAGAATTCTATTTAGTGGCGCGGAAACCGCGATTAGCTTGCTACATATTTATTTATCTATGACCGCGATCTCGATCACACGTGCTAACGCAAAAAAATATTTTTGAAATGCCGAGTTGTGTGATGCGGAAGTCTAAAAATTATTATTCCAAAATAAAAACGACAAACATGTTTCATATCACACGTAGGTTTATTCAAAATTATCATACATTTAGATCATTTTACTTTAAATTTAATAATTATTACGTTTTCTAGCAGAAATTTTCTACTTTATTGTAAATAAGGGACAGAGTATACAATTTTAACTGTGTGTAAAAGGTATAGCATTAACTTGACCGTCATAACGTCTTTAAGTATCAACTATCTCTTTCTCACGTGTACAATCCGTATACTCCTTCACTGTCGTTTGAAAAAACTACGTGTATCCATATAATAAGTATGTATACGTCAAAACGGAACAAGTTTAGAAAGACGTGAAGTATCAGCATGCGTCATCTACCTCCTTTATAATATACACTATCATTGGCGACTGCCAACAAATATCTAACGAGGCAAAATCTGTAGGTGAGGTCCATGTTTAGCAGTAAAGTTTTGGTATCGTATCGCGATTCTAAACGTCTATCAAATAAGGATACGCCAGTTTATGAATCATTAGAATAATAAATAAATTTTTTATTGATTTTAAGATTTAGGTATTATACGTGGTAGAGCCATGCTGCAGTTATATTAGTAGTATAGTTTTAGCACGAATGGGTCGGCTTGACCGGAGAAGGACCACGCTCTCACAGAATACCAGCGTAAAATAGTAGCTTAATGCAGGCTGTGTTTCGTATGGTGAGTGTAGAGAAACGGAGACTCTTTTTACTGGAAACGAGGCATTCTAAGTCCTCACGGGTGACAACGCATCAGCATTTTGATTCGTAATCGGAAAAACGGTTCTCGAGTGGTAGCCTCGTACCGGTAGGCGTAGTGTAGGGCGACACCCCACTAGATGGAGTGACCACCTGGTAAGACATGCAAGAAGTCAATGGATGCAGGTGGCTTAGGACCGTGCTTTGTGGCATTTCTTGGGGGAGGGCTGGAATGTTTTTTCTTTATCGAAAATGTCACAATCTATTATTATTGCGTTATCATTGTTTTCTAGGTTGGAGAAGCGCGCGAACAAGTTGATGTTAAAAGCTTCGCAGACGTTGGAGCAGTCAACCGGGCTTGCAATCGGTCCGCGACGGTCTTTGAATGAGACTTGTAAGGGATTCAATTTATATTATTATTTTTAATTTTGATACAATTAATCGAAGAAATCGATTTATGAGAAATAAAACGGCACTTGAAAAATTTCAAGACTGTAAATAAAATCGCAGGTTTTCTTTGCGGAAACGCATCATACAGGTTGGGCTATAGTAAAATTCGCTTTTAAAAAATAAATAAAAAATACAGGTTATATTAGCAAGAGGTTATTAATTTAAGTAAATAAACGCACATGTTTTTCTTTTGAAAATAATATCGTCTAGATGCTCTCCAGATTAGCAGGAACACTCTTCTAAACGAAAATTCAGATTGTCGAAAACTAGCCTGCAAGTCGCCAATATAATCGCCACCATTTATTATTGTTGAAAACTCTGCTTATGAGATATCCCCGTAAAAAGCAGTTGAGTGGGGCTAGATCTGGACTGGTGGCCACCCAATATCCCCTCTTCGATATCACTTTTCCATGGAACGTTTGCCGTAATACATTCATATTGGTATATATGTGTGTCAGTTAGCCCCGTCCTGTTGAAATCATGCATCAAACTCTTGGAGCTTTAGACCCAAGAACTCTCAGCATTTGAACATAATGTTCTGAATTAATAGTTACAAATTGACCGCCGCGATCATTTTCAAAAAAATAAGGTCCAATCAAACCTCTTTGTGGTATTGAATTGGCTTTTGATGTTTCGATGACGACTGTTCCTTTTACACTTAACACTCCAATAACATGAATCAACATGAAAGTGAGTTTACTCTGAAAAGAGGATGTTTCCCTAGTTCAAGCCTTAAAAATGAAAACTGTATCTTTTGTTGAAGTCAGTTTCCATTAATTCTTGCACGAGTTGAATCTTATAGGAATAAGCTTCAAATCGTGTGACAAGATGCGCCTTAAACTGACCAGAGCCACTGAATGCCTACGGGTTATGAGTTTCGAATTATATATTGAGCGCGGTGCGGGTTTGTACGTGTGTATAGCTACATATACCATTTTGATGCATCTCATTTCATTATATAAAAACTTTCCCTACCAATATCACACTTTATACATAATTTCATTCACTCAAATGTAATTTTGTTGACGCGGCGTGGGTGCGTGTCTCAGACGGCGAGGAATCGTGCGCGGCGGAGGAGCGCGAGGCGGAGGTGGCGGGGTCGCTGGCCGAGTGCGTGTGTATAGCTATATATTGAGCGCGGTGCGGGTGTGTGCGTGCGTGTAGCTACATATTGACGCGGCGTGGGTGCGTGTGTCAGACGGCGAGGAGTCGTGCGCTGCTGAGGAGCGCGAGACGGAGGTGGCGGGGTCGATGGCCGCGTGCGTGTGTATAACTATATATTGAGCGCAGTGCGTGTTTGTACGTGTGTATAGCTACATATTGACGCCGGTGCGTGTGTTAGACGGCGAGGAGTCGTGCGCAGCTGAGGAGCGCGAGACGGAGGTGGCGGGGTCGATGGCCGCGTGCGTGTGTATAGCTATATATTGAGCGCAGTGCGTGTTTGTACGTGTGTATAGCTACATATTGACGCGGTGCGTGTGTCAGACGGCGAGGAGTCGTGCGCGGCGGAGGAGCGCGAGGCGGAGGTGGCGGGGTCGCTGGCCGCGTGTGTGTGTGTGTGTATAGCTATATATTGAGCGCGGTGCGGGGTTTTACGTTGTGTATAGCTACATATTGACGTGGCGTTGGTGCGTGTGTCAGACGGCGAGGAGTCGTGCGCGGCTGAGGAGCGCGAGACGGAGGTGGCGGGGTCGATGGCCGCGTGCGTGTGTATAGCTATATATTGAGCGCGGTGCGGGGTTTTACGTTGTGTATAGCTACATATTGACGTGGCGTTGGTGCGTGTGTCAGACGGCGAGGAGTCGTGCGCAGCTGAGGAGCGCGAGACGGAGGTGGCGGGGTCGATGGCCGCGTGCGTGTGTATAGCTATATATTGAGCGCAGTGCGTGTTTGTACGTGTGTATAGCTACATATTGACGCGGTGCATGTGTCAGACGGCGAGGAGTCGTGAGCGGCCGAGGAGCGCGAGGCGGAGGTGGCGGGGTCGCTGGCCGCGTTGCTGTGTATAGCTATATATTGAGCGCGGTGCGGGTGTGTGCGTGCATGTAGCTACATATTGACGCGGTGTGGGTGCGTGTGTCAGACGGCGAGGAGTCGTGCGCAGCGGAGGAGTGCGAGGCGGAGGTGGCGGGGTCGCTGGCCGCGTGCTTGTGTTTAACTATATATTGAGCGCGGTGCGGGTTTGTACGTGTGTATAGCTACATATTGACGCGGCGTGGGTGCGTGTCTCAGACGGCGAGGAGTCGTGCGCGGCGGAGGAGTACGAGGCGGAAGTGGCGGGGTCGCTGGCCGCGTGCGTGTGTATAGCTATATATTAAACGCGGTGCGGGTTTGTCCGTGTGTATAGCCACATATTGACGCGGCGTGGGTGCGTGTGTCAGACGGCGAGGAGTCGTGCGCGGCGGAGGAGCGTGAGGCGGAGGTGGCTGGGTCGCTGGCTGCGTGCGTGTGCCGGCTAGCGCGGCACGAGCAGCGAGCGGCGCTCGGGCTGGTGCCGCTGGCGCGCCTTCCTGCGCTGCTTGCTGCCACGCTTCGCGACTGCTTCGCTGCGCTCGCCGCTGACGTTGACGTACGTCATTACGTACATTCATACATATTTTTTAATTTAAGTATTTGTACAATCAATTTTTAAGATTAAACAATACCTTAATCTTAAAAATTGTATATTATAATGACATACCTAAATATAATTAACATACGATTTATAAACTCTTCCATGTATTCTATTAGATTAAAGACTTTTCTGTATCCTCCGAAAACGAAGACATACATATTAATGTATAATATTTGAACAAAGACTTCTCTATGGATACTAAACGGACACTACAGAATACATTGCACACTGTTTTTACGTGGTCAAGTCACGCTGCAGTTATATTATGATTGTAGCGCTACACGGTCGGCTCGACCCAGCTAAGATCACACGCCTACAGAATACCAGTGTAAAATAGCAGCTCCATACAGCTGCGTTGTTATACGTCCACTGCTTAATATAGACCTTAAGAATGCCACAATCGAATTTAATATAATTCATAACTAATAACAATATTAAAAAGTTAAACTAAAAAATCTAATTGTTAAGACAATGCGTCATATTAATACCAATTTCTGACACTTAATTTTTGAGCACTGTTTATTAAAATTTAAATAAGTACTATTATTTGTCAAAATACACATACGTTGACATTAACATGAAAGGTTTCGCTCCACGAAAAAGGGTTTTGAGTGTATGGAACATAATACGAGTAGTTCGTCGTCTAGTATGTGAGAAATTAATATCTATTTTTCACAATCCACCTGATGCTAAGGTGGATCCTAATACACCTTCTCGCTTTCTCAATATCCATATACCTACGCATACAAGCTCGTTGGTTAAGGGTACTCTTAATTTGGCCCATTTTTAATCGCCAATTTTGTCGATAATCTTTCGCCTAGGATGTCCCTTTCCGACTCTTCCGTTCACTTCTGCAACATAAATTTGCTTTATTACTCTTTCCTCATTAATTATTTCTACATTACCAAATTAACGAAGCATTCTTTTCTTAATCCTCGTCACAACATCATCTTGCAAACCACACTCTTCTCTTATCAGACAATTTCTCACCCTGTCAGATTCAGATTCAGCCCTAACATACTCCTTAACGACCGCATTAAACTGCGTTTATTCTACTCTCGTGCTTCTTCTGCCACACCCAACTTTCACTACCATACGTTAATGTAGGGACTAACAGCATTGTGAATTGCCATACGAGCCTTTTTTGACACATTCTGACTTTCCATAATAGAGTGTAGAGACCCATTTACTCTATTTCCTGCGTTCACTTGTCGTTCTATACCTTATCATATCTCCCATCCCTGCTAAATACGCATCAAAATATACAAACTCATATACTTGTTCGACCAATTCTCCTTCTATTCTTATTTCACAAATCGTTTTACTTTCTTCTCTTTCAAAAACCATAACCTTCGTCTTACTTGCGTTCATTTTCATTCTCCTTTCTTTTAATGACCTGTAACCATCATTTTCAATTCGGCCGCCAACGATGCAAATATAACTTGATCATCGGCGTACAAAAGGCATTTGACGGTTAACTCACCCATTCTTAACCCGCATTCTTCGCCTTTTAAATTTTCCAACTGTCCATAAATAGGTTAAACAGCCACGGGGAAGCCACACAGCCCTGTCTGACACTTTTATGGATGGCAGACCAATCCAAGCTGATCCTAACACAAGCACTAGAGTACCTATAAGGGACTTTAATGCCCGTATATTAACCCAGCGCTCAACTCAAATGAGTTCACTGTTTCTATAAAACATCCCTGTCATAAGCCTTTTTTAAGTCCATGAACGCACAAAAAACTTTCTGATCTTTGGCTAAAAACTTCTCCGCGATCATGCGCATGGAAAAGACTTGATCTGTACACCCAATTCCCATTCTAAATCCCGCTTGTACATCCAAAAATTTTCCATCGGTTTCTTTCATAACTCTTTTAATTAGTACCTTAGCATGCAGTTTTCCCACAATGCTAAGAAGGCTGATACCGCGATAGTTTTTACAGTCCTGTTGCGACCCTTTTTCTTTATATATTGGGAGTATCACGGCCTTGCACCAGTCTTCCGGTACCCGCTTCAGTTCCAGCAGTCAGTTCAGCAGGCCTGCCACCACTTCCCCTCGGAAACGCCCCCACCTTCCTTCTCTTTATTCTTTCATTTCATCTACTCCTCCTCCCCCTTAGAAACCAACACCTAAATATTCCTTACATCTCTTTAAACTCAAAACTTGATCATTCAGAATAGAACCATTCTCATCTCGTATAGCATTCAATCTAGGCTGTTTTGAATGTCCCTGGCAGTTCTTACGAGTTTCTAGAACATTTTAATATTTGTCTGGAAGTTATGCGATATTCTTCTATCATTCTTATCAGTTCTTTCTTGCTTTTTCATTTCAACTACATCTTTTACTCTCTTATTTAGACGTATAAAGACTGCCTTTTTTTAATATGTACGACTGACAGTTTTTTTAAAACGTGTTACGTGCGCATGCTACAGCGTGCGTGTGCACGTGTACACCGCGCGGCGGCGCGCTGCTCGGGCGGCGCGGCGGCGTGCTGGGCGCTGCTGGCGCGCCTCACGCGCCTACAGCCCGACCTGCAGCGCGCGCTGCACCCCGCCTCGCCGGCGCCCTACCTCGCCATCGTGCAGGCCTGCCAGCAACACGTAAGCCCACTCAGCACACTTACTGCTGCTGCTGCTCCGCTTTTTAGTTATATTACTCTACGGCTTCTATTAGTAAGGAAAGGCCTGGAGCTTCTATTGAAAAGGTTCGCCAAATGATATGTTCAAATGTCAATAAAAATAAAAATGTTGCTCCATCATACTGTAATTAACTGTTTATTTAATTTCTATCGCCCATAAATAAATTCATTATTTTGATTTCATTACTAAATAGCTACCTACTACACAAAAGAATAACTAATAGGTCTTATTAGAAACCTATTGTAGCAACAAGTTTCATAAAAGAAATACTGGTTGTATAATTGCGTTAATTGGTTGGTTACACACGACCCCACAATTTTGGATATTTTCAAATAAATGTAGAAACTTTATTTACGCATATTTAAAAAAAAACTGTAAAAAGGGGTATATCGTTATTTATATTTTGAACTTAATTATTAAATTTGGATACTCTTTGTAAAATAACCCTGTATAACACAGATATTCAATATACAAAGTATAAAATAAATGTTGTTTTGCCTAATACAATTTAAAAATGTAGTTAATATTTTTGTGTATACTATGAAATTTTTCTTTACCGGAGAAGAAAAGCCAGAGAAAAATAAAACTTTTACGTTATGAAAAACAATAATAACGAAATGTGGAAATTGTGACAAATAAAGCATTTTAGTCTATATATGTATATTTTGTAGGCTTGGGATAAATTGGCCCAAGGATTCGAACCTGTAATAACTGTTATTGGATTTTTCTGTAATGAAATTCATAGTGGTATCGCGAAGTTAACAAGTTCCTGCGTCTGATCTCTCTCTGGTCGTGTCGAATTTTTGTCTCTTCGGACTGTAAGAGTGAGGCAATAGAGTGCACCTTTGCGTGCGCACACACTCGTGCACTATAATTCCGGTGTGCAGATGGCTGGTCTCGGCTGAGACTGGGCGTCGTGAGCTACATTCGTTGAGGAGGATATTATCGTATGTTGCAGTGCGTGCGCACGCTGGAGGAGTGGATCGAGGGTGTGAAGAGCGACACGGCGGCGGGCGCGGTGGACGGCACCGTGCACCAGCTGGCGGCCGCCGCGCTCGCCTACTGCCACGCGCTCGCCGCGCACATGCACACCGTCGGTGCGTACCGCGATCCAGCCCCCCCCCCGCCTAGCTGGCCACCGGCTCTCGATGCCCCACACATCTCACAGCACCGGCAGTCAGTGTCGATACAAACCGCTGGCCCAACTTCCCTCACTTCTCACAACACCGGCCCTCATTGTCGATTCAAACCTTTAGCTCCACCCCCACCTCTCACAGCATCTGCCCTCAATGTCGATACAAACCCCTAGCCCAACTCCCTACCTCTCACAGCACCGGCTCTCAGTGTCGACTCAAACCCCCAGCCCTGCAGTCCTCACATGTTGCATCTAATCCACTGCTGCCATACCTACTCTGGTAGGCGACTTTCAATTTTGAATGAAAAATTTATTTATGACCGTTATTGATACAATTACACCCCATTAAAATCCACTGTTGAACACAGGCCTCCCAATAGATTGACCCATAGGGAGAGGATATTTGGCATAATTGCCACGCTTGGCAGGCGGGTTGGTTATTTATCGCACAATATATGATATGAAGAAATTACAAATTACAACTAAAAAGCAAACATAAAATAATACTATACCAACTACATTGGGTTCAAGCAACGAAAAGGCATCCGACTCAACATAATGTTGTAGCAGTGTTGCCACGGCCACAACGCCATTGTTCTGTCGGTGCCTCATATTAACGAGCAATTGTTACACATCAACAGAATCTAGGGATACCTTAACCCTAAATTATTTACGACATTATGGTTTAAAATCCTTTTAATTTCTATAAAAAGTTTATATAAAGATTGAAACTTCTTTTATTCTATTTTCGTAACTTTAAAAAAAATTACGGCGCCATAATTGTTAGTAATTCGTTACGTCAAGTAAACTTAAAATTGTTCTACTGCTACTAATTAATGAAAAGGGAATAGATTATTTTCCTTTTTTAATTTAACGTGCCGTGTGAGTTTTAAGAGTCTTGTCACGTCGTCTTTTGAGGCAAGATGAAATGTTACGAGCCGTGTGCATATTAGAAAATGGTGCTATTTAACGCGTCGTTGCTGAAGCCCTACACACCAGCTAAAACTAGATATCAAGGTTGGTATCACGTTATCGCAGTAGTGTGGATGTGACTGAACGGCACACGGGTAGATATCGTGTTACTACGCAAAGGCAGGGTCGATTTCTCCAAATGACCGCCAGAAGACAACCCAATATCACAGCGATGCAACTACTAAAAAGGCTTCAGGAGGACCACCAGCTGCTGATAAGCGACTAAATCGTGCGGAGGAGGTTGCATGAAGTTGGTCTTCATGCTCAAAGACCGCTACGTGACGCATAGCGACATGGCAATCCCGGCCGGCAGCTTTCGTGAGCTCAGGAGCATTTACCATGTAGTGACGAATAATGGTATTTGGTGCTGTTTACTGATGAGTTTGGGTTTCATCCGGATTCACGAAGAACAAGAGACAAGGAAGAGTTAGCCGTCTACCGCACCTTCAAGAGGTCCACTCATACTAAGGCGGGACAATCACTGTATTTAGATCCACGGTAGCATGACCGCACAAAAATACCACGAGAAGGTAGTAGAGCCTCTTATTGTCCCATACTGAATCCAAATAGGCCAGGAATTTTTACTCATGCACGGAAATGCTACGGCGCGGCTGGTGTCAGCCGCTCTCTGAGACCACGATATTCAGGTTTTGGATTGGCCTGCACAGTCGCCCGACTTGAATCCTATCGAGCATGCCTGGCACATGATACAAAAATAGTAATTTGTTACATGTACTGTAATATCTGATAAGGTTTGAGCGCGCCTTGCTAACAACGGCATGTTATTTCATATTCGGAAAGCTTGTACAGTAAATGAACTGTCCAAAAATTGTGCTTAACATGTACTTTTTTTAGACGTAGTAGAACCATGCTGCAGTTATATTAGTAGTATAGTTGTAGTACGAATGGGTCGGCTCGACTGGGGAAGCACCATGCTCTCTAAAAGTAAAGTAGCAGCTTAATGCTGCTGTGTTTCGTATGGTGAGTGTAGAGAACCGGAGACCCTTTTTACTGGAAACGAGGTACTCCATCTTAGTCCTTACGCGTGACAACGCATCTGCATTTTGATTAGCAATCGAGAATAGATGTAGATGTCTATGGGCCGCAGCAATCACTTACCATCAGGCTCGTTTGTCACCCTATCCTATAAAAAAAACTATTTACATTGCAAAATAAATTTCAGGCCAGGCACTGTCCACGGAGCCGTCGTACGTACGAGCCGCTAGTCAGATAACTGGCGTGCAGGACAGAAATGCTCTGATGCTCGCAATTTACATGCGTGAGTCGTTTTTTTTATTATGTATTTATTGAAACTAATTTTACGGATGTTATTGTTTAGCGTTAGCATTTAATTTTAACCTTTTAAATTTTCTACGTTTCGGGTACTTTATGGTCCGGGCTCACGCCCCCGCAGAGATCTTTGTCCTCCTGATGTTATAGTTAACGAAGGCTTCAACTTTAACTTATCAATTTTTGATACGATCTAAGCAAAGCGAGCTTTCAGTAGCTTGAAGTCTTGCAGTAGTATTCTTGGGTTTAGATTTTATAGCGTTCACTATAAAATCATTTACAAAATTATTTAGTAGCATTTGCGTAAATATAAGAAACATTTATTTATTAAATCTTCTTTCATCAGCTCACTAAAAACTTGGCTTAATCACAACGCTTGACAAGTGGTTGCCAGTCGTAGTACCAGACGTTTCGCATATTGGCAATGTTGCAGGCAAAGTTCTGGCTCAATTAAACTTGGCGTTACGGACCAAGAGCGAGCAGTATCCCGACGCTTTGAAAGCGATCTTCCTGCTCAACAACACACTGTATTTGCTGCAGGTATTGATATTTATTTATTTTATTTTATTTCATATAAGTAGTTATAAATTATTTGTTGATTTTATTGTAAAATAACCAAATAATATAACGATACAACGCTATACCGTTATGAGCGGGTTTTCTTTATTGGTTCATGTTGTCACGGCACGGGCTCGATGGACCGCCATTTCTAATCCCATTCTTTATCCGTGCGGACTGTACCTGCACACAATGTCTTGGTCTTATCTAACAGAAGACTGTGTACCGTATATTTATTATTATAATACCACTAATAATATTTACATTGTGTCGTTTTTCATAAAAATTGAATTGACAAGAGAACTGTCCCGAAGTAAGTGGCTAGTGCAGCACACCTGCAATTATCTTCTAACAGAGAGAGCTACGATGAGTTGTCATCTCTGAGGGTTAAGATGGAATACCTCACATCCGTTTGGTTATACTAGCTCTCTATACCTTTAAGGCCAGAACACCACAGCTGCTGGCATTACTGCTTGGTAGCTGTCCTAAACAGACTCGATCTAGACAGAATCGGACTCCTGGAAGAAGAGGGATTTTACTATCTAATTTGCATTTGAATTTTGTTTCGTATAGTACGCACACGAATCACATGACAAAAATTTTTTTGCTTGTCTATTAAAGGGTCTCCAACGCAGCGGTCTCTTAGACGTCCTGATGCTGGCCGAGCCGGAGTGCGAGACCAGCTACCGCGATATGATACAGGACTACAAGAACGCATACTTGCAGAGGTACGAATTTAAAACGACTTTAAAACACTACTGGGTTGATCAATAAGTATTCGGAATAGGACACATATCAATGAATTATAGAAATGCGTTCAATTTTTTTTCAAATCTTATATTTGTTAGTAGCCAATGTCTGAAAAAAACTACATTAAAAACTATGTTCAATATTTTTTATCAAACTGTAACATTAGGCGGGAATTCGACTCTGAAGCAGAAATGGAAGAACTCGAACTTCGTGCGGTTATTAAATATTTCGGCCTGTAAAAATGTTCTACAAAAAGTGTTTTTGACGAACTGTAGTCTACTTTGTCAGACAATGCTCCGATGTTTATTCTTCAGTGGCATACTGTTGTGCTGAATTTCGGCAGAATCACCTGCAATGACGGCACTGGCCCCGGACGTAAAACGTTAAAAAAAATCGAAGAAATTGTTAAGATCAACATGTGATCCGTTATTTAGCTGAGATTGGAAGCTTCCGTTTGGGACAACTCAGTTTATTTTAACTTAACATCTACATAACTTAAATTTAAATTGACGGCGACGATGAGGTGATGTGTGCTGTGGTGGTCTTTTTCGAGTCCCAGGATCGAGCCTTTTTTTCTAAGAGAATTAACCAACTTGTAAATCGCTATTCAAGGTGTATATACTAATCCTAGAGTTTCATTGCGTATCCAAAACTTATTGATTACCTAGTATTATCTCGTATAGAACAATGTAGTGATTTCTCTTTTCGCTTTTTTAAGTGGTTTCGACTTAATGAGTCAATAGATGTACTCGTAGGTGGCTTGGGACCTTTATTTGGACAATCTGTTGGGTGGTATTTATATTTGAAAGTGGTGGTGTAAGGGGGAATGTAATACCAACTTATCCCCCAAGTCCTTATCTTATATGCACGCGTATAGATTGTCTTGTTTTTCGTTTTCTAATTTTACCATAGTATGAAGCTTATGAAACACACTCAAAATATATTTTACTATAATTTTATTATTTACAGCTGGAACAAGTTGCTGTCGCACATAGCGCTGGACGAGCCGCTTCCTAGTAAACTGCGCGACAAAGACAGACAGCTACTGAAGGATAAATTTGCGGTAAGACTTGCAATCATGATTCTCGTCTCATTCGTATAATTTTTATCATAGCATAATACTTAATTTACCAAAATCTTCACATGTTAATGTACTTCTGTGGAATTTAATCAACATATTTTTATAAACCCGACGTTTCGAGTGTTTTACAGCACCCATGGTCATAGGGGACTAAAAATATATTATAAAAAAGTTTATACGCGATAAAATCACCAATTTTTTTTAAATTTTCGACTGAAAAATCATATGGACCAGATATCTGGTTATTCAGCTTCAATTTCCTTTTTTATTTCATTGCTACGTCCATTTGGCGGAGATATCCGAAACTGAGCGAAAAAAGACCCTATTGTCTTCAACCATTGATATCTCAACAACCAGTGTAAATTTCTTGAAAATTCTGTCAAGACATTTGAAGAAAAAAAATTTCATATGCAATTTTAATTTAAAAAATTAAAAAAAAAAACTGACTTTTTCTCTAGTTTTGGTAAAACCCCTGCATCTTAGTTACTGATAGAAAAGCTAGTTTTCGGTATTTTTTTACTTCAATGTATCCCCAATAGCGCTGTAAATTTGCAGATCTATTCATCTATCGGTTTTTCCGGACAGATTATTCAGTTTCGATAAACATTAGACAAGACTTAAATTTAACATTATTAGACTGAAAATTTTTGAAAAAAATATTTTTTTTATTTTCTCATTTTCATGTTAAGAAACATTGTAATCGGTAACCAAAAATTAAAAAGATTTTTTTTGAAATAACTTTTTAAACAGATGTGACGATCAATTCCAAACTCTTATCAGCTCTTTAACTCGAAAAACGCCTTTGATTGCTGCAAACCGCATCAAAATCGCTTGATGCGTTGATGAGATCGTTAACGAAAAATTTCTAACAAAGTTTTTTTTTTTCAAATAGCTTTGAAATTTCTTCTCGGATCGTTTTGATGTAATAAATTAACTATGAGTGCTTAAAAAATTCACTATGTCATATCTTACCAATTTATATTAAATTAGTTGTATTTAGGCCATCTGTGTTTCTTTTATGGACCACCTTGAGAGTCTGACAGTCAATTTTTGTTTCAAAATGAAGTGTTCGTCGCTATAACAAAGCCATTTTAGTTTAAAGAAAATATTTTTTTGATTCAATTCACTAAAATTTTGGCTCTACTGGTCTTATTCTAAAAGAATATTTTAGACGCAATTCCGCTCGCGATTAAAACTGCTCTGGGCAAGCGGAGCAACAACACTAAGGCGACCCCTGCTACGCTATCCGTGAATTTTTGCAACATCTAGTGACTTCATTCCAACCTTAACGCTGTCCACTACCATCTGGAGACGGTGAAGCCGGCTTTGCTCTTTTTAACCGAGACGCAGGTGTCCTCTCCAGCTGATACTTTATACCTCTTCTACCCGGGGTACAAATTAGATCACTCCTTTGTGCCCCGGGCTGGAGTTTATGTGTACGTCAGAGAGTTGATGGTACGGACCTGTCCATCCTAATATGCGCGTAGACAGCGACGACCATCCCCGAGTCTACGGGTGCCTCTATAGGTCCCATAGCGGTAATGCCGAAACAAACCAACTCATCGATCACGTACAGAACACCAAGGCAATTTTAACGCCCACCACGCCAAATGGCTCGGTTCACGTTTAACCGATCATGCGGAGGAGATCTGTTTATGACTTTGCCTTGGCATATGGGCTGACACAACTGGTTACTTAGCCTTCGCGGATTCCAGATGTGGAAGATCATACACTTTCCCTGTTGGACCTTCTGCTAACCTCTTATCCGGACGGATATCAGGTTTCTGTCGACGTCCTTCTAGGCTCGTCGGACCGTTGTCTTATCCCGAGTCTGGTGCCAGTCACATTAACGTCGCGGTTGCATTCTACAGGTTGCCGCCGTGTTTGGCACTATACTTGTGTACTTCAGGGTATGGAACTTTTTATTTCATCCTCTGTGGTGCCCGTCGGAGGCAGATCCCAGCCATGCTTTGGTTGCTCCAGTAAAATAGCATCACGCTATAAGCAGGATTGCTACCGGGCCTGGGCTGACGCGTCAACGTTATACACCGGCCGTGCCTATATTTCTCGGGAAAACGTCGTCGAGTACCGGGACAAACTTGTGTCTGAAGTCGAGTCTTTGCTGAACAGTCTCGAATTAGAGTCGACTAAATCCAGTCCAGTTCAATCCCCAGAAGACACAAGTTTGCGCGTTTACCGCTAAAAAGAACCCCTTTGTCGTATCTCCTCAGTTTCAAGATACTCCCCTTGCTGCCTTAGCTAGCGTCGGCATTCTCGTCGTCGACGTATTGGATAGTGTGCAGTTTCGTGGTCACTTGGAAGGGAAGGTCGAATTGGCCTATTAAAACCTTGGCGTGCTCAGCAGAGGGAGATGGTATTTCATGCCGGCACATCGCTTGCAACTTTCCAAAGTGGAAGTTAGGCTTCACATGGAATAACTGATCTCTGGGCCGGGGCACCCCACTGCCAGATCCTTACACTTGACCGCATCCAGCGCAGAGTAGTTGGAATCGTGGACGACCGAGTTCTTTCTGATCGGCTCGATTTACTGGCGCTGCGTAGGGATATTGGATCCCTTTACGGGAGTGTTCGGAGGAATTTTTCGGATTAATTTCAGCCACCAAATTTCACAAACGCACATCGCGTCAAATTTCACGATATCATCCTTACCATCTGGATGCTTGGCGATCCATCACTGTGGGTTTTACTAGGAGTTCTTTTCCTCGTACAACTTCTCTATGGAATTGTTTACTACCGGCGATTTTTCCGGATCGATATGGCTTAGGGACCTTCAAGAAAAGAGCTTACTCCTTTCTAAAAGGCCGATAACGCACCTACAATTCCCTTGGCGTTGCGGTTGTTCATGGGTGGTAGTTACTTACCGTCAGGTGAGCCGCAGGCTCTTTTGCCCACTCTACTATAAAAAAGACATTCCGAGTACCAAAGTTAGTAGTAGTAGGTTATTCTTTTATAATGTGGCGGCTCTATTATGTAGCTGTTTCATTAATGTTGTAGTTATTCCATTGATTAAGTGTTTATTTTGTGTGTTGAATAGTGGTTCTATCGATTATGTAGTCTCTAGCTACCCTGTCGTTGTTTCAGTAGTTATGTAGTTGTTCCATTCATTGAGTAGCGTAGCGATTATATCAGTTGTGTAGTTGTTCCAATGATCGAGTAATTAGTTGATGTATGATTATGGCGTGTTCCTGCGGCAGTCGTTCAACCGCGAGTGGGAGGAGATGACGCGTGCGCAGCGCGGCTACAGCGTGCCCGACGCGGAGCTGCGCGAGGCGCTGAAGCGCGACAACAAGCAGGCGCTGCTGCCCGCCTACACCGCCTTCTACGACGCGCACGCAGCGCTGCCCTTCTCCAAGCACCCCGAGAAGTACGTCAAGTACACGCCCGTGCAGGTGAGCCACACTACAGGCTGCAGGCCACAGGGCAACAAGCAGGCGCTGTTGCACGCCTATACTGCCTTCTACGACGCGCACGCAGCGCTGCCCTTCTCCAAGCACCCCGAGAAGTACGTCAAGTACACGCCCGTGCAGGTGAGCCACACTACAGGCTGCAGGCCACAGGGCAACAAGCAGGCGCTGTTGCACGCCTACACTGCCTTCTACGACGCGCACGCAGCGCTGCCCTTCTCCAAGCACCCCGAGAAGTACGTCAAGTACACGCCCGTGCAGGTGAGCCACACTACAGGCTGCAGGCCACAGGGCAACAAGCAGGCGCTGTTGCACGCCTACACTGCCTTCTACGACGCGCACGCAGCGCTGCCCTTCTCCAAGCACCCCGAGAAGTACGTCAAGTACACGCCCGTGCAGGTGAGCCACACTACAGGCTGCAGGCCACAGGGCAACAAGCAGGCGCTGTTGCACGCCTACACTGCCTTCTACGACGCGCACGCAGCGCTGCCCTTCTCCAAGCACCCCGAGAAGTACGTCAAGTACACGCCCGTGCAGGTGAGCCACACTACAGGCTGCAGGCCACAGGGCAACAAGCAGGCGCTGTTGCACGCCTACACTGCCTTCTACGACGCGCACGCAGCGCTGCCCTTCTCCAAGCACCCCGAGAAGTACGTCAAGTACACGCCCGTGCAGGTGAGCCACACTACAGGCTGCAGGCCACAGGGCAACAAGCAGGCGCTGTTGCACGCCTACACTGCCTTCTACGACGCGCACGCAGCGCTGCCCTTTTCCAAGCACCCCGAGAAGTACGTCAAGTACACGCCCGTGCAGGTGAGCCACACTACAGGCTGCAGGCCACAGGACAACAAGCAGGCGCTGTTGCACGCCTACACCGCCTTCTACGACGCGCACGCAGCGCTGCCCTTCTCCAAGCACCCCGAGAAGTACGTCAAGTACACGCCCGTGCAGGTGAGCCACACTACAGGCTGCAGGCCACAGGGCAACAAGCAGGCGCTGTTGCACGCCTACACCGCCTTCTACGACGCGCACGCAACGCTGTCCTTCTCCAAGCACCCCGGCCTAAAAGGCCGCAAGCTGTAAAAAAGGAGTAAATTTTAATTATTCTAGATCATTACTTGCGTAAGGTTTTCACCTACGTCAGTTGAATAAAGTCTGAGCAGGGGGTGCCGGGCCCCGGTTCTGACGGCTAACTCGTATCGTTCAATGTTCTGAGCGGTAAGAACCGCTCGGGGATGCGGGTGCGCGGCGCGCCGTCTGCTGACTCGCTGCTCCACATCCGATGTACTGATTGTTTTGTGGCTCTATATGAGTGTGTGAGTATTCGTGTGTGAATGGACGTTACAAGGCCTCCGGAGACTCCGCCATGTTTTAGTCGGTGCGTGGGTGGAGTCGGGACGCTGCTGGTTGTTCGTCGTTTTAGTTAGATAAACACTTTTTGATTGGTGCGTTTGGCAGAAAAAAGCGCTAGCAAGCGCTTGTAAGCAAAATGGCGAAACTAAAGTTTTCGGCCAGGACACGTTTGCCAACTTCAGTAGCGCTGACACAATACGCCATTTTTTATTTATTTTGCTTATGCGCTTATTTAATTTGTTTGTTTTGAAGTAGAGTTTATAAGTTGTTTTGTGCAGTTTTAAGTAATATAATGACATGAATATACATATACATGTTATTAAAAATTCATGATTGGTAAGTTTTTAATATGAATACTTTACAAACATATATTTAAATTAGGTTAGGTTCCGCGGTTAAAACTAACTTCGTGTGCTAGAGGAAATTAGCTACTTCCGATTTGACAGTGCTTACCGCTTACGATCGCCATTTTGCTTACAAGCGCTTGCTAGCGCTTTTTTCTGCCAAACGTACCCAATGATTCTTCTTGATCGATCCGCGTGAGTCCACTGCTGGAACTGATCTCTTTCGTTAAAAAAAAGATGATCTTAAGTCGTTACGGTAGGCAGGCGGATGTACGATCGTAAACATAGAATACTACAATACCCAATACAATAGCTGTCAACTTTATTTTGTACGAGGCTTGGCGTCGCCAAAACCGCTGTGTTAACAGACTGAGTAAATTTACACATTTTAGACTTTTGATTAATGTTCAAGATCGTCATTAAAAAAATCGTTTAAATTTTAAAACATATTTATTTGTAAATAGGGTGCAATTTGGCATTTTATAAATAGTTTGCATGCAAAATTTGGAAACGATTGTAACGTCATAACACGTCTCGTGTTGACATTTGTGCGTGTGAATTGACGTGTTAGTGACATTTTAGTGGCTACGCGGGCTCCGCCTACTCCCCCATTCTATTATGTATGTATTATAGTATTCTATGATCGTAAAACCAACTGTCTCAGGACAAGATTTTTCTGGAACTTATCATTCATTGTCTTACTACAACCACCGCTTACGAAGTGATTAAAAATATTAGGATAACATTGTGAGTTATGCATTCCCTTACGCCAGTATTAAATGATAATAGTTAAATCTGTCAAAATTTTTAATACGTGGTATAGTTGTAGCACGAATGGGTCGGCTCAATCGGGGAAGAACCACGCTCTCACAATATACCAGCATAAAATAGCAGGTTAATACTGCTGTGTTTCATATGGTGAGCGTAGAGAACCGGAGACCCTTTTTACTGGAAACGAGGCATTTCATATTAGTCCTCAGGGGTGACAACGCATCTGCATTTATATTCGGAATCGTGAGAATAGATGTAGATGTCTATGGGCCACAGCAACCACTTACCATCAGGTGGACTGTGTGCTCGTTTAGTTTTGAATACATATTGGTAGATATGTTTGCGCACATTTTTTACGTGAGAACGTGATGTTGCGGCTTTATTATGATTGTAAAAACAAATAAGTCTCGACCGGGGAAAAATTACGCTATCTCAATTATTGCGGGAGGCCTATCTTCAGTCGTGGACTTTTATATGATATAATGGGAAGATGGAATGTACCGTTTCCAGTAAAAAAAGGGTCTCTGGATCTCTACATTCATCATTAACCTGCTATTTTACGCTGGTATTCTGTGAGAGCGTGGTCCTTCTCCAGTTGAGCCGACCCATTCATGCTACAACCATAATACAGTTGCAGCAAAGATGATCAAATTTATATGGGACCACAAAAAAAAGTTCTGAGGTAACACACTCATAAAGAAATACAGTCGAATCGAGAACCACCCTTTTTTATTTACGTGTTATATTTTAATTACAGATTGCGACGCAATTGGATGGATACTTTGACGAAGCAGCTTAGTACTCCACTGCTGGGTACTTATTTCCCTCGTAGAATTACTGAGATGTGTTTTGTATTGGGATCTCAGATCATATAAACAACAGGAGATATGGCTAGGTGGCGTGGCACTTGCGAACGCATCTGGCCGCAAAGCGGCCTGATGCCAGTTTCGGTAATTAGTCGAATGTCAACTTGTGACGTCTTCACTGCTCGTGATTTTTGACAAAATGCCGCGTTGTTCAGTGATTGTTTGCAAAAATAACAGCTGTATTGTGAATTACATGAAAGATGGCATCTCATTTCACACGTAAGTACTAAAATATTAATGTTTTTCTTATTCAATTTATTAAAACATTACTTCGTGGTACTAAAAACACGATGAAAAACCAAATCAAATGTTTTCATTAGAACAAAACCATTGCTTGCTTAGTACAAATCGACCTGTGAATCAGCTGGTCTAATAGCGCAATGGATAAGTGTTTTACTGATACTCTCACTCACACGATAGTTTCGTAAAGCAGCCGCTGCCGGCTTTTGTGAGTTAGAGATGTGAATGCGTGTGTGTGCGCTACTGCGTATCTATCAATTTAATGAACTGCATGTGTTGGCGAGTGGCGGGGGCAAACTGGAGACATCGGGTTCCGATACATTTTAACTACCGGGCATATATCCTGTTGTTTATATGATCTGAGATTGGGGTAATGTTACCCCATTGCGCGTTGACAGAATATCCCATGTTTTCGTTTGATAATACTTTAATATCTCAGACATGCAGGTTTCCTCACGATGTTTTCCTTCACCTCTGAGCACATGGCAGAGCGGATGAATTCTGATTGTTCGCACGCTTTGAATTTTAAGTCCAGTGCCCTGTTTATCAAAATTTATAAGCCTTGTATTACAAGCAATTTTCCTGTAAAAAAATTAATTATTACAAATATGTGTTTATCAAAACTGCACGTGTAAATTACAAGTTACAAGGGTCATTATTTATTTCACAAGTATATTTTTACACTTGTATTCGTGATTTTGTTTATCAAAAATCACTTGTAAGTTACAATTTGTAGAAAATCATAGCAAATCCAAAGAGTGTCCAGCGACTCTCCATTCCGTCTTACAAGTATTTTAAGTAGTACTGCAATATTTTTTGATTGTCCTTCTTAAAATGTAGTCAAGTAACTCAAGCGATGATGGAAATACTAGAATAATGATGAACATGATGAATGAATCATAATAGAATCAAGAATTGACTACGGTCATATGGAGACGACCTAAGAACTTTTTGTCGCGAATCAGTTGAAAAATCGTTATTTTATTATCATTTCTAGACGTTTTACAAGAAATCGCAAAATATCGCCGCGAATACACTTCAAATTATATATAAAAGGCGGAAATACTTTATCGCTACTACCTGTGCTACTATCTATCAAAATTAGGCACAGGCGATATACCATACAGCCACGCGTTTAAATAAGGAAGGATTCAATAAAAAGCAAAAACAAAATGGCGGGAAAAGAATGCGGCACACGTTTTTGATTTTAGAACTTACAAGTAGAACCTACAAGTGTTAAATTTTACAAGCCCTGTAGATTTTTTTGATAAACGTAATTTACTCGAACTTGTAAAAACTTTCTTGTAAAGTGTAGCTTGTGAACAAGTAGACTTGTGAGTTTTGATAAACAGGGCACAGATCTTATTAATAGAGTAATTATTATATTTACCGTTACCAATACAACCTATCAAAAAGCTTCTCCCATAGGTTGCCTCATAGGGGCGATATTTGCCACAGTTGCTATAATTGTGACTTGTGTTGTCAATCGCAGTTTTTTTTTAAGTTGTTATTCGAGAAGATGCTGCTGCAGATTTTATGGTTTGTCTCCCTTCCCCCTCGCCTCTTGCGACGCCCACGCGACGGGTTAATGGATATTCATTACATTAAATAGTATAATAATCATATTTATTTCAATAAAATTGTATACGCATATATTTATTAATTTACGTTACATTTTAATTATTAAATAAATCAATTAGATTTTTTTGATTTATTATTTCTCAGTGATATCCCTCTACTTACCAAGGTAATTAAAATATTTAAATCAAAATATGATCCCCGCTCGACGTTGTTTGTTAAAAAAATCTTCAAAGCAAAATGACGATCCCATGTCTTAGTGTTCTAAGTCTACGTCATAATGTCGTCCTGACCGAATTTCAGTCACGGTGGCCTCAAAAGGTATATTAGTTCATAACTACATAAGATGTTTCAAATGAGCCAGGTCTATGTACACTACCTCAAAAAAAAAGAGGTCTGTAGAATTCAAAAAAAATACAGATAATTCACTTAAATGTATCCTATAGTGGTAAACAAGTGATGTTTATCAATTATTTTTATCGACTTTCAACATGATGGCGTCGTAGCGATTTAGTTACTCTGAGCTTATAGACAATGACAGTACACCATAAAGCGATTATTTGATCATAGAAAGAGAACTGTCAGTTATCACAACAGCATGGAGGTTAGAGAACAGGAGAACGATCGCTGTAGAAAATAGTGTCCCAGAAATATGGACAAAATAAGTGAGGCGCTGCGATCGTTAAGTTGTCTCAATAAAAGCAGGCTTATTATTATTATTTATTAGGGCGGGAGGGTTTATATCATTCAAAGAAAAAAAGGAAAATAATGAAATTACTATTATTTATTAATATATAAATTATGTTTTTATAATTTTAATATTATTATATATTCTTACAAATATAAATTATGTAAATATTTCATCGTATATAAAGTTTATTTTGTCAATAATTAAAAAAATACTTCGCAGATACTTAGTACTACGTCGACATGCTGTTTTAGATCTTAACGCTTCATAGTTAGATCGATATTTTAGTCTACTCACAATACTATTCGGAACGATTGTAATGCCGAAAGTTAGCAAATCGACATACTATTTTAGACCTTAATGCTTTTTATTAGGTTGATTTATAATTTGTACTGACTACTAACGGTACCTACTTTTCAGGATTAAGCTAAAATATAGTTTAAAAGCTTTATTTCTCTAAGGAATATTACAGTTCACTTTTTGAGAGAAAAAATATCTACCAGTTGCATTATAAAAGTAGATAAACTATGTGAGAATTATTTTAACCTCGAAAACGAAATATGCACTGTACTACTTTTCCCGCTATTCGCTTATGACGTCATCAGGGTGTCATTTATCTTTGACCACGGATAATTGATGACACGCTAAGGATGCGCATTAGTTTTCAAGAAATCTATGCATTACAACACTAGCGGTCAACTATAGCCTAATTTGGCGTGCAGGACATTTTGGTTGGTTAAAATCCACGTTTTTTAGTTCAATGTTTCTCAGTAGAGGAATGTGGAATTAAAAAATCAGTAATAATTTTCCAATATCTATATTTCATATTTTTGTTGGCCGGGTTTTTGTCGACTATAGACGTCGTTGGCGCACAGGACTCGCAAGTGCTGGTCAAGTATAGATGACTTTGGCGCTCAACATGTGGTCAGTACGCTACACTCCTTTGTTTAACAACGCAGACAAGTTTTTTTAGCGGTAATTTAAAGCGGTAAATGTGTAAACCTGTGGCTTCCGAAGATTAAAATGGACTAGAGTGGTCTCCAATCAAAGATTTTGTTTATTAAAGACTCGACTTCGGACAAGTTTATTCAGTCTCGATGACTTGTCCCCGAGAAATATTAGCACGCCCGGTGTTAAAACTGTCACCAGTGGTACAACCAGTAACAGCAACATATAATTGACATCCAGAAGATACAGAGTAGGTGGCAGCACGCAGCCTCGTGAAACATTAACATAGGCTTGTAGTCGGTGTTATGCACCGTCTACTACGACCTTGATGCTCCGATCTACAAGAAAACTGATGATCCAATTGCACAATTTCTCGAGAAGCTTATAGAAAGGAATGTTCTCAAGAAGCGCTTTATGCCAAGGGCCTTCGCTCCTCCCTCTTGCACTCTTCTGTTTCCGCTCATCTATGAGTCAGGTAAATAGAAGATCAGAACAAGAACCAGGGGGTCCTCAAGGTACATGAGCTGGCAGTTTATAATGGATTCCATTATTTGAATCCAATAATTTGGGAGAACAAGGAGGTGATGGCGACAGGACGGACAGACGGGTTTGAGCGGTCGCCTTTTTTAGGTTCGGGCGGACTAAAGCTGTCTTCCATGAATTCGGGACTACGCCTAGGAAGTATAAGTACCGAAAAAGTCGCGTTAAAACCGGTGCCGATTCCGGAGCACACGTCTTCAGCACAATTGGAGGGACTCCATCAGATGTCAATCCACCCTGGATGTCGATCAACTTGTTGACATCCAGGGAGTCGAGTGCTTTGCGCACCAAGCGCTGTGTAAACAGCACATCCAGCATGGAGCGCTTACACCGTGAGATGGTCGGCGGTGTGCTTTCTCCGTCATCGAGAGTCGAGTTGGACGCAATGTGAGAGCCTAGCAGATCGGCTTTCTCCTTCGCAGCATGGGCCAGTGAGTCGTTCTCCCTATGCAGAGATGGCAGTGACGGCAGACAGAAGTTCCCTTGGATATCCTTGGCAAAACACCTTTATAAAATTAGAGGTAGAGTCAATCAACGAAAGACAAAAGGTACACAAAAAATTTGTCTTATTTAAAACAAATATACCAAAAAAAGAAAGAGCAAGCAAGTAAGTAAAGTACTTGCGGCACTCGCTCTATTAATTATTGAAAATATTATACCTTATCTCTTATCTATCTACCTATTCTGTAGAATAAAATTTTGTATGACTGTACGTACACAGTCAGCGTCAGATATAAGGGAGCAATCAAGGTGGTCAAACATTTTGAAACATCATAGTGATTATAAACATTTAACCATCCATCGTGGCCAAAGTATTACTATAAATGATACTAAATGAAGGTCACTTTTGTGTTTAATTTAGCATTGAAAATACCTGTCTTGGGACTTGGGGAGAAGCAGCAGGAAATCCAGCGCGATATTTGTTTTGGTTACATTCTGAACTTTCCTTACTTAGCTGGCTTACTCAACTTCGTTTGTGTACATTTTATCTTCCATAATATCCTTTAGCTTTTTATAACTATGCAAATTACTCAACTTCGTTTGTGTACATTTTATCTTCCATAATATCCTTTAGCTTTTTATAACTATGCAAATTACTCAACTTCGTTTGTGTACATTTTATCTTCCATAATATCCTTTAGCTTTTTATAACTATGCAAATTACTCAACTTCGTTTGTGTACATTTTATCTTCCATAATATCCTTTAGCTTTTTATAACTATGCAAATTACTCAACTTCGTTTGTGTACATTTTATCTTCCATAATATCCTTTAGCTTTTTATAACTATGCAAATTACTCAACTTCGTTTGTGTACATTTTATCTTCCATAATATCCTTTAGCTTTTTATAACTATGCAAATTACTCAACTTCGTTTGTGTACATTTTATCTTCCATAATATCCTTTAGCTTTTTATAACTATGCAAATTACTCAACTTCGTTTGTGTACATTTTATCTTCCATAATATCCTTTAGCTTTTTATAACTATGCAAATTACTCAACTTCGTTTGTGTACATTTTATCTTCCATAATATCCTTTAGCTTTTTATAACTATGCAAATTACTCAACTTCGTTTGTGTACATTTTATCTTCCATAATATCCTTTAGCTTTTTATAACTATGCAAATTACTCAACTTCGTTTGTGTACATTTTATCTTCCATAATATCCTTTAGCTTTTTATAACTATGCAAATTACTCAACTTCGTTTGTGTACATTTTATCTTCCATAATAACCTTTAGCTTTTTATAACTATGCAAATTAGCAAAATTGCCCGAGTGTAACATAATGTTTATTATAACATAAAGTGTTTTGGATCGGTGAGATATTATTTAGTTATGCTTCTTTTCTGAGTCCATATAGGTAGGTAATTCTGCCGATTAACGGCATTGCAGCTACTGCTGTATTTTGGCTTTAAGGATAAGAAACCCAATATAATTAGAGGCTGTGGTAAATGAAAACATCGACTTTCAATAATTATTGTTTATAATCTACATTGAATAAAAAAGTTTCTGTTTCTGTTTCTGCTGTGTAAGAGGTGAAAACGCAGATGTAGCCATCTTTAAGTTGGTTGAAGGAGTCCATGGGCTGCAGTAGCCACTTACCATCAGGTGGAATGTCAGCCTGTTTGTTACTCCGTTTCTGCCCATCATCCACTACTGGACATAGGCCTTAAAGGTTGGCAACTCCAGTTTTTCAAGGTTGTTATTAGGGAAACGCGGCTATTCATCTCCTGGTTTGTTTTTCTCTGCCTCTTAAGACACACACTAATCGATACCTTGTAGTGAAATTTTTTACTCGTCACTCAAATATTATAAGATATGTAGCTTGACAAATAAAACAAAACAATACTAACATAAGTATTTAATATCGCATTTAGGTTTAATTCTTTCTTTTAGGTTTCCTTCCCCTCTTCTTTGGCCACTGCAACAAAAACCCTGTGATAAAAACTGTTAAACAATGTTATTGCCAAACATATTTAACATTATTTAGAATGTTGGAAGGTACATTTTTAGACAACTTAGTTAACCTGGATAAGTAGAGCAATGGTTTTTATAAAATATGACAAACGAGCACACAGTCCACCCGATGGTAAGTGGATGCTGTGGCACCTACATCTATCCTCGATTGAGTATCAAAATGCAGATGCGTTGTTACCCATGCAAACTGAAACGGAACTCTCGGTTACCAGTAAAAGATTTATGGATTTTGGGACTCAACATGCGGGCGTGGCCCTTCTCCGGTCGAACCGATCTGTTTGTGGACAAAATGTAATAATATCTTGTTTTTGTTTTATTTCTTTTTAACATAAGAAACTAACAATATATCAGTTTCTTAATTAAAAAAAGAAATAATTGTTATCAAAAACCAACAGTCCACTGTTGGACAGAGGTCCCTCGAATTGTATTTTTAAATGGTATTACGAATGGTATTTTGGTAAAGGGTATTCAGTAAACTAAATTCAGTAGGCTAGTGATGGGCAAAACATTAGCCGTTTGCCTAGCTTGGTGAGTATAGCATTTTTAAGGTTGCATTCCAGTTGGGTGGCTCTTAAAAAGGCCACACCTAGTCGAGGATAAAAAAGGGTGAAAAGTATCAAATCTTTAAAACATGGTTATTCCGCCATCTGTCAAGGACCACACATCAGGTCCTTCCTTCCATCATCCTTACATGGCATCGCTTCAATCTTTACATCGCATCGCTTCAATCCTTACATCGCATCGCTTGAAAATTAATATTAATCCTGTGTTTTAGACACATATTTGTTTGGTTTAGTTTCGTATCCAGGCTAGACTGATATTTTTCATCACATTGAACATTGAACAAGGAAACAATCAAGATTTATATTCAATTGCCATTGACTCGGACCAACTAGCCCATGGACTCTGTATGTTAAGCGAAACACAAGGTCAACTTGGTCCATTTCAATCGTCAACTTGGTCCATTTGTGGGAAAAAATACTTGTACCTAAAACTACAAAAAATAATCACTATTATAATGAGAAAGTGAAACTCTGCTTTTAACAAAAAGCAAGGGAACTCTGTCTGTGCTTTTTGGTGCAGCCGGTCCCAAGCCCGGATAAAAGAGGAAGGGGCGGTTACGCCGGAGAGAGTGGGTGTATCCGGTGGACTAACACACCCACCTGCGCTAGGACCTGCGCAGTTGAGCGCCGTACGCGGAGATGAAGGAGCCCTGGAGGGTTGAGCTGACCGTCACGAGGGTATATAGTGTCGAAAGGCAACACGCCCTCTTCGATCCGGATTTCAAGCTAAACAGTAGCCCTATCTGCTAGCCACAGATAGGGAAATGGTCAAGTAATCCCGTCAGAGGGTCGCAGGCGAGGGATGTGGGGGCTGCCTAGTCTCCCTGAAAAGGGCTAGGTAGTGGCAAAGGCCATGCTGACGGAGTAAGTGAAAGTCTATTCGGGCAGTGGGGATGGGCCTTTTCACAGCCCTATCTGCCAGCTGGATCGAGCTCGCGATGTCGCTCTGTGAGCTAACACTGCGTCCCTATATTCCCCCGGTAATTTATTTTTATAATTCAAAATTTTTTTTATAATAAAGTAGGGCGTTCACAAAGGTGCGGGCTTCATGGAGGGTGGGAAGCCGGCGTGAAGAAGTCTCAACACATAAATAATATGAACAATACAAGGTCTATTAGAAGAGAGGGAGAAGTGTCAGAGGTGTTTACTTTAGACACTGACAAACCAGAAGGAACCGCCATTATAACAGCGGTTCTACACACTGTACCAATCCAGCCTAGGTAGCCCCACCAAGGAGGCAATTTCCGCGCTGGATGTTCCCAACATCAGTTCCAAATATGAGGAGCTGGACGCGAAAAATGAGCAGAGAACTGACGACCTTTTCTCTGCTGCCTGGTAAGTGGTGAGCCTTAAGGGGAAGGGCAAGGCACCCAAAAAGGTGACTTGCCGACCTGACGGACCATCAGGTGGGTCTATCCCAGCAGGCAGTGGTGCAAAAGCCAAAAAGAAGCATCGAGAAAAAGGCTAAAAAGAAAAAGCCGCGCTCGCTGCTTCCAAGAGCAACACTAAGGGAGTTTGGCAAGCTACAGCCGCTGCGGTGCTTGGGGCTGGAACCAGTAGCCGCGCCGAAATTGGGAAGGATGAAAATCCAGCCCAAGTAGTGGCGCGGCCGCCGGAACCAGCTCTAAGACATCTGCCAGAAAGCAGAGAGCAGCTAAGCATCCTGAAAAGAAGGAAAGAGCAGACAAAAGGATGCTGGATGAGTCCACCTCGCCGAGAGGCGACCACAAAAAGCGCGACACGAACAGCAACCAAAGGCTGCAAGAACGAGCTACGCTTCTGCTGCTAAAGCAGATTTGGGTGTGGCCTTAACGTGTGCACGTTCAGGTCACATAACAAAGGATTTAGCTGATGAAATCCTCGTCCATACAGAGGAAGATGATCAAAGAACCCTAAAGTAACCAGGACCCTGATGCGTCAAACCCAGTTTTAGAGGCAAACCCGTTTACACGGAGGGTGTCCTGAAGCTGTGGTGCGACGAACAGAAGGCTCTGGACTGGTTGAAGGGGAATATTAATACCACCGACCTCAAATCCAACACCTCGTTGACTATAAAGAAACAGGCAGAGATATCACAAAGAATCAAATGTGGTATCCTTGTCCCTGATGCCCAAGGTGCCTGGAAGGACTCACGCGACATTGGTCGTGTGCTTGCGTACCATAACCGCTGGGTAAACATCAGGGAATGGCTGTTACTCATAGCGGAAAAACAGACGGACGGGTGTTTCTTCGTTGTTTCGGTGCCGGAGGATCATATCCCGACCCTGGTGAAAGCCGGGCGCCGTCTCGCATGTACATGTGGGGCGGTGTACGTTAAATTCCAGAGTCGCGGAGGAAAATTCTTTGATTCTCCACAAAGCAAAGAGGCAGAAAAGAACCCGGTAGTCATAGATACCGGGGTCATGGTTACCGGGGTCATGGTTACCGGTACATCGGAATCACTGGATGCCAAATCCAGTGAAAAAACGGCCTGCACAACCGAGCCGAAGCCCCGAGTGGAGACTGAGCTCAGCGGCAGCACACTGAGCGACGAAGAGGACTGCATTTTGTCGTCTGATTCCGACTCGGTGGCTGACGATGAGACCCGGGATTGCTGGCAGGCTTATTTTTGGGCGGGGACGGGGAGGACGCGATCAATGACGGCGAGCCTTTCGTCCAGAACTAGCCTAGTGCAGGCCAACCTCCACCACAGTGAAACTGCGTCGTCTCAATTACGCAAGTGGTTGGAGGCACAAAGGAATTCTCCATCGGAATACTGACCGACAGTATGGCGGTACTACAAGCTCTGAGTTGTAATGTGGTGAACTTGGGACTAATATATGAATGCCATCAACAATTAAATGATGTATATAAATACAACAATGTGACTCTGCAATGGATTACGGGACACAGTAGATCGAGAGGCAACAATGCAGCAGATGAACAGACCAGAAGGGGATCGGCTCTGGTCCCTATAGGGCCGGAACCAATAATACCAATCCCCTTTGGCTACGTTCGTCCACGGATACGTAGAATCTTCAATAATATACACGCTCACCTTTGGAAAAATTTGGTAGACTGTAGACAAGCTAGGGAGGCCCTGCCTGAAATTAACAGTCGCCTAACCAAGGTTCTAATGAGACTGAACAAGCCACAGATCAGGATAGTAACAAGTGCTATCATAGGACATGGCTCTTTTAACAAACATTTGTTTACCATAGGTGTTACTGACAGCCCCCTGTGCAGGGCATGGGAGAGGAAGAAACGGCGGCTCACGTGTTGCTGACATGTCCGTAGGTCGCTTCATACAGGGCTAAACATCTCGGCACGCCGGGATCGCTCCCCAAAGTTGCTTGCAACTTCAAAGGACTTGAACTTCTTCGGGGAGATTTTATGGCTCGAATAATCACATTATTCCTGCTCACACGCAAAAACTGCGTTTAGACGTGGAGTTGCGGAAAACAGGCCGTCGTAAACTGAACTAAAAATGAGAAAGGGGTTAGACGTAACGCGACATATACTCGATCTCATTCTAATGCGTCATTCGAACTATTCAGAACGACCTGAACGATCCGAGTGTTTGTACAAATGCATGGTCATGTAGGGATTGAGTTATTTGACGTTCTGTCATAGTAAAGTCTGGTAACCTTTAGAATTTAATTTAAAAAAAAAACTAGAAATTATTCATACAAAAATAGTTTTATCCAATGTAAGAACAGTTCATGGCCTCCACGTATAGAGTCCATTGAGTAGTTGGTCCGAGGCAATTCATTACACAGAGGTTATTAAACGAAAAAAGTCATAGTAATCCGGTCATTACACCAGAGATGATTATAAAGAAGATCTGTTTAAATAAAATAAATATAAACTTACGGAATTTGCATGCTTGAGAATATTTTACGAATTTCATTTTGTAACATTACATGAGAATAAGAAATCTGGCACAGCACAAGAGCACACAACTGTAACCTCTATTATCATGTGCAAAGAGGTTTTTTATACAGTGTGAGTGTGCAAGTTACTAAACGTAAGTAATTTGTAGCTAATACTTGTGAGATACAAGTGTTAGCTCCAGTCCGGTGATTAACCAGACACATAAAGACAAACGCTTACTGAAGTTAATATTCTGAATTAAATTGATCGTTAAACATTTTCAAAAATTTGACTACCCGTGCGAATAAAGAATGGGATTAGAAATGGCGACTCGTCAGGCCTGCTGTCAGCATACACGATACCTTCAGGAAAACAGAACTAATAATTTTATATAGTTTCACTCTGAAAACGATATTATATTAATTAAAACGTTATTTACTTTATTTAGGATTTTATTAGTTACAGAAATAGTTCTGATTAGTATTTTAAAATCAATAGAATTATATGTAATAAGTAAAGAGGTAAATCA